TTTTTTGCACCTTTCTGCGACATATCCTCAGGACCTTTTCAAAGATCCCGAAATTCTTTGCTTCCCTTCCTTTCTTACATCTTTCGGGTTCCTTACCTCCTATGTGATGCTTCTGTATTGTCTTCCCGTCTCGTTTATTCTGTCAAGTTTTTGGAGGGGACTGTTGTGAACCTGTTTCTGCAAGTAAATGTGGACCTTAGGTGTAGGATGGTTTCATGGGTTTATCTTGATGTTCTCATCTATTTTGAGTTGTTTCTGCAAGTAAATATGGACCTTAGGTGTAGGATTGTTACATGGTTTTATCTTGATGTTCTCATCTATTTTGAGCTGTTTCTGCAAGTAAATTTGCACCTTAGGTGTAGGATGGTTACATGGTTTTATCTTGTTTTTATCATCTACTTTGAAGTGTTTCTGCAAGTAAATGTGGACCTTAGGTGTAGGATGGTTACACGGGTTTATCTTGATGTTCTCATCTATTTTAAGCTGTTTCTGCAAGTAAATATGGACCTTAGGCATATGATGATTACATGATTTTTCCACCTGTGCTGAATTAATTTCTCATTGGCAGGAGGCAAATTTGAAGACCTCCAACATCTATTTTTACATTTATTGAATTTCAAGGATTTTCCAATAATTTGCAAGGAATAATATACCTTCTATAAATCTATATTACATGTGTAAATAATGAAAAAGTGTAGAATTGATTGAAAATAACAGGCAATTGAGGCCCTCTAGGGATACAGATTGTAATTCTGATTTTATGCAATTCTGCAGCTATTTGCAGACCTCCAGACTATTGTTCTTGCATTTTTTTCATGTTCTTACATTTGTTTCCGTAAAATGCAGCTTGCAATATTGGACGCCCCCCCTGGAAAATAATTGCAAGTCGGTAAAACGTGGGGGTACATAATTGCAATCTACGAACCTATCAAAATGCAATCTTGCAATAAAGACGATGAAAAAAAAATAATTGTAAGCATACATTTTCATGGGTCCCCCCCCAAAACAACGTCTTATTGCAAGGTTGCATTTTGAGCGTCCCCCCTCCTCAAAAGGGTGGTGATTATTTATTACCATCTGGTTATTTAACATAGCCATGGATAATCCCCATTTTTAAGTTCGGTAAACCATCTATTTCTATGGGCCATCTATACCATGGCTATGTTAGTCATAACCAGAGGGTATATCCCATCTAGAAATCACCATTTTTCTTGGTTTTTTTATCCCATTAAACCACCATTGTTCACCATTTTTGTTGTTTTTTTTATCGCATTAAACCACCATTTTTCATAGTTTCTTGGCAAATCAACTCTCGTGACCTCAGCATTTTCATCGATGGCTTTCTACACGGTCGGAGCATCTCCACCGGTCGGTGCTTGGCATATCTGATACTTTGGATGGAAGAAATCCTGTACCAGTTGCTAACTATTGGCAACTAATGTCCACCCTGGATTAATAAGCCATGGTTTATTAATTAGGGGGGTACTCCCCAAATAGTAGTCATCTAATACTCAAATGGTACCTCCCAAATCAACCTAGGGGTTTATTAATCCGGGGTTGACATTACATGACTCAATATGAACTATCTGAAAATCAACGGATTCAAATGGAACTTTGCCGAACTTTGCCCACCAACTGTTGCAGGAAGGTATCGTTGATGTCCCACTTTTTTCCGGCAAAAGTCTTTTATTATCCTGGTCAAATGGGGATGATTTCCCTTTATTGTTTTTCAGGATGCACCTGGAGTCCAATGATCATCGCCCCACTGCCAGGTTGAAGGTTTGAACTTGACAGTGGATCCCTCCACATTTCATGTGCCTGACATGTTTGGGAAGCCCAGAGCACCAGAACTGGAGAAGGTGGTGCAGAGGATGAAATGCTTCACTGCTTACCCTGGTTAGTGACTGATGAATAAACCGCTTTGTATACTAACTCACTAAACTTAATAAGTACCCTGGATCGGAGGGGTTTAGATCGGAAACAAATCTCTAACCAACAGTAAGATGATAAAAACGAACAAAACCGAAGGAAAATGATATAATATGAAAAAAATGGAAAAATGAAAAAAACAAAGAAAATTGATTTTTATTGTCTAAAACCATATGGCCATCGTCATAATCCACCAAACGTGTTATTTCTGGTGATTTTTGAGTTCATTAATCACATCTTTATACTTTTCGGTGTTGTGTGCATTTCTGGTAGGTAACCTTAATAAATAATCTAAAATGTCTCTGTTTATACTTCCATCTTTTCCACCCGTTCCTGATATATAAATAAAGTGTCTTGCCTGTCTTATATAATCCCGATGGGTTTCTGTATGCATTTGTCAATCCGTGTCTGTCTTCTGTTGTTTTTGTGTTGGCTATGTTCCTTTCTTCTTTATACAGTGTTGTATTTTGTCTGAATTGCTCATTAAGATTTCTTGCAAAGTTGTTCATCTTCTCATCTAAGTCTCTTTGTTTCTTGTCCGTGTCGTTCATCAACTCTTCTCTTCCTTGACGCATTAATTCATCAAATGCTACTCTACCTATTCTTTTTGCGAATAATCTCATCTCTTCTCTTGTTAATACAGTTTCTATTGCTTCACCTCCCATAATTCTCTGAACAACCTCTCTCCCAAACTGCCTTCCCACCTGTCTCAATGCATTAGTCATTGCTATTCTTCCAACTCCTGCTACAACTCCAATCATTTATTTTTATATTAATGTTTGATAAAAATCATTTCTGATAATAGATCTAATCATGAGTCATGAGTAATAGATAAACATATAAAACTATTTTTGTAGATAGTAAGTATCGCAATGCTCAATCAAAATCTTCATCTGACTTTTCAGTGGAGTTAAACGAAAACTCAGAAACACCAGAGGAAACAAAACTCTATGTAACTGATATTTCTATTCCAGCGGTGTGGAAATCTACAGAGGTGGGCTTCTATGAATATATTTATGTTGTGGTCTTCAATGGCGATACATTAGTCAAAATATTAGGGTATATTTAGGTAATATTATTGTAAACTGTGATTAAAACATGAAACAATCACAAGAAAGAAATCAAAATGAAAATAACAAATCTCAAAAAATCTCAAAAAATCTCAAAAAATCTCGCAAAAAAGTAAATTATGTTTAACAAAAAATCTCAAAAAATCTCAAAAAAATCAAAAAATCTCAAAAAATCTCAAAAAAACCCAAAAAATCTCAAAAAATCTCAAACTTGATGATAGCATGAAAAAATAAAGGTGCGAAACCACCAAAAAAATGTTTTTTTTGTTTTTTTCATGTTTTTTGATTATATATTGCATGTGATTGTTGAATTTATTGCTGCAGTCATTTGTCTTTCAGGGATTCGCAGGACGCAGCAGCTTCCTTTGCTGAACCCGTTGGCAATGATGACCACAACATAAATATATTCATAGAAGCCCACCTCTGTAGATTTCCACACCGCTGGAATAGAAATATCAGTTACATAGAGTTTTGTTTCCTCTGGTGTTTCTGAGTTTTCGTTTAACTCCACTGAAAAGTCAGATGAAGATTTTGATTGAGCATTGCGATACTTACTATCTACAAAAATAGTTTTATATGTTTATCTATTACTCATGACTCATGATTGGATCTATTATTAGAAATGATTTTTATCAAACATTAATATAAAAATAAATGATTGGAGTTGTAGCAGGAGTTGGAAGAATAGCAATGACTAATGCATTGAGACAGGTGGGAAGGCAGTTTGAGAGAGATGTTGTTCAGAGAATTATGGGAAGTGAAGCAATAGAACATGTATTAACAAGAGAAGAGATGAGATTATATATTCGCAAAAAGAATAGGTAGAGTAGCATTTGATGAATTAATGCGTCAAGGAAGAGAAGAGTTGATGAACGACACGGACAAGAAACAAAGAGACTTAGATGAGAAGATGAACAACTTTGCAAGAAATCTTAATGAGCAATTCAGACAAAATACAACACTGTATAAAGAAGAAAGGAACATAGCCAACACAAAAGCAACAGAAGACAGACACGGATTGACAAATGCATACAGAAGCCCATCGGGATTATATAAGACAGGCAAGACACTTTATTTATATATCAGGAACGGGTGGAAAAGATGGAAGTATAAACAGAGACATTTTAGATTATTTATTAAGGTTACCTACCAGAAATGCACACAACACCGAAAATATAAAGATGTGATTAATGAACTCAAAAAATCACCAGAAATAACACGTTTGGTATCACATGTCCCTCAGATAATATATAATCCACCAATTTATATTTGTATATACCCATTTGTACCCCAACCAAATAAAAAATGAGATACAATGAGATAAAATGAACAAAATGATTTAAAAAAATGCGTTTTAATGGGATAACATGCTTAAATATGTGAAACAGTGTTTTTAATGCGTTTTTAAGTTATTTTGAGTTTATTTATGCGCATGGGGGTTCACAAAGTCTTCTGATCTAAACCCAGCTGATCTAGGGTACTTATTTATTTTGGTGACTAACCATGGATATTGACCACTCTAGTATCAGCAGGATTGAAGAGATTGGAACAAGGTTTATATAGACAGCTTCATGCATGACACGATTGAGTATCTCCCAACATTGGGCAACGTTTGGTTACTTCATGCTTTCATCTCTCACCGTGATTTACGGCAGGAATATGTCATATCCCACCAACGTTTGCCCTTCTTTAGAGAAGCATCTATGTAGTTGACCATGTACCCTCTGGTAAACTAACGTAACTATGGAAAATCACCATTTTTAAGGGTAAATCGACTATAAATGGTAATTTTCAATAGCCAACTGTTAGTTTACCAGAGGGTAGTTATTTTTTTTCTCTTGTTCGTAGTTCCCCAAGTCCAACTTACCTTCTGGTCATGGACCAGGTCAATGGAACATCCACCAAGCACCTCAATCTTTTGCAGCTCAGGTGTCGGGACTCGAGATATTGCGCTGGGAAGGTTTGCGCCTCCGGGCCTAACCAAGCAACACTGGTGCACCTGTGATCTGCACCACGTCGCGCGACGTGGCGAAGTTCACTCCAATCGACCATGCTGTGGGTGTGCGGCCGGTTAATGTGATAAACCCCAATCCAATGTGCTGTTTGCAGTTGTTTACATGAATCTTGTAACCTTAGGGTTTCTTGTTGGGCTTTTTATATATATATATATATAATATATATATAATTATATATATATATATAATATAATTATATATATATATTTATTTAATTACACGACATATATCTGCTCTTGAGTATACGGCAGGCACCACGAGTCTGCTCGTTGCATCAACTGGCACAGCTGCAGTGGTCGACTGGTTTTCCGCACCGATTCATACGGGGCATAAAACGAGGTGAGTCTGCAGGGATAGATCAATTCATACTGCAAGGATCCGGGACGTTTGGGGTTACATATATATATATATATATATATATTTAATATGTAAATACATAATTTATACATACGTATGATTATAATTATATATATATACATTATTTATACATTATATATATATATGTAATATACATATACGTATAATACATATATATATATGTATATATACATATGTGCACAAGTGATTAATCTCCCTTTTTGAATGTCCCTGCAAGTCCTGATGCTTGAAGAGACCATGTTTCTGTTTGGCAGGGGGTCCCCAAAAGTCGCGCCGAAGTATTATATTTAGAGTTGTATGAACAATAACAATAGAACTAAAAATACTATTATTGTCAATAGTTGTTATTGACCAATAGTCATACAACTAACTGGTTGGTGGTTTGGAACATGAATTTTATGACTTTCCATATATTGGGAATGTCATACTCCCAACTGACGAACTCATATTTTTCAGAGGGGTAGGGCTCAACCATTAACCAGGATAATACTGTTATTGTTATGGTCAATAGTTGTATTCGCCCCCGAGAATCCCCAGAGATTCTGATGGGTGCGACGTAAGTGAGGCGTGTTTACGCCTAAGGTTTTCCCCATTGATTGGGTCATATGTACCTAGTGCACCGCAAGCATGGCCTTATTTTCTTCCTGGGTTAATGCAGCTGTTTCCAGGGAAATTCAACCATCAAACATTGGGATTCAGAGTGATTTCACCATCGCTGGTGACAGCTGCCTTTGCAGCTTGTAAATTGATGTAAATTGGGTACTCAAATAGAACCCCTTGGAACAAAAAATCATACTTGGGTAAAGTACTGGTGTCCTTGCTGAGTGAGTTTGAAGTTTCAGCTATCATGCGACCTGGAATGATGATCTCAATCGACTATCGATTTTTTCAGTGCCCAAATGGGCCAGGCAATGGAGCTACTTGAACCAGTTGACAAACCCAAAACCCACCTTTTCTTCACAAATTACACAAAACTAGAGTTTGAAGCAGTGAAGATCTTCATCAAAACAGCTGACAATGTCAACATAATCAACATAGCAATTAAGAGAAGTTCTCTCCCGCGCGGGTTGCGCCACATCAGCATGTGGGATGCGCCGTTGCCGCATGGCCATCATGGCCATCATGGCCATCCGGCCATCCCACAGGCCACCACAGCTGTTTGCAACGTTTGCCATAGGGTAAACCTGTTAGAAAACACCAAACTCTAGGGACTTATGAATGATGAATATCAAAAGTTTTCGGAGTGTTTTTTGTCAAACACGCAAATTGATAAATGGATGGATCCAACATAGTTCTTAAAGCCTTCATGTTTTGTTGGTTAACGGTTGAAGTTGAATCCCATGTGTCTGTTTGTTCAATTCCGATATCTAACCCTAAATTATTGGTAATTTTCTCATAGGCTGAAATCCCATATGGTTCTGGTTCATTTTTTTTCATCACTAATTTTGACAGAATGTTGGTTCGTTCAACTATCATTTGCTTTACTGAAATGCTGCCACTATTCGTTGATGAAATCACAATTTGAATTTCTTTGGTTGCGTTCCCTTTGGTGTTGCCGTCCCTTTCAGTTACTCGAAACCCCATTTGTTGCTTAAACCATGTTCAGCTCTACATGTTTTGGGTAAACCCGTTTTTTCTGGTGTAAACTTGGATTAACCCCAGATTGTTCCAATAAACGCATTTTTCTGCGATAAAACCATCATATGGTCACCATTAAATCACTAAACCACCATTAAATCACCAGTAAATCACCATTAAATCACCATTAAATCACCAGTAAATCACCATTAAACCACCATTAAATCACCATTAAATCACCATTAAATCACCATTGAATCACCATTAAATCACCATTAAATCACCATTAAACCACCATTAAATCACAATTAAATCACCATTAAATCACCATTAAATCACCATTAAATCACCATTAAATCACCATTAAATCACCATTGAATCACCATTAAGCAACCATTAAATCACCATTAAACCACCATTAAATCACCATTCAATCACCTTTAAATCACCATTAAATCACCATTAAATAACCAGTAAATCACCAGTAAATCAACATTAAACCACCATTAAATCACCATTCAATCACCATGAAATCACAATTAAATCACCATTAAACCACCATTAAATCACCATTAAACCACCATTAAATCACCATTCAATCACCTTTAAATCACCATTAAATCACCATTAAATCACCAGTAAATCACCAGTAAATCACCATTAAATCACCATTAAATCACCATTAAATCACCATTAAATCACCATTAAATCACCATTAAATCACCATTAAATCACCAGTAAATCATTATTAAATCACCAGTAAATCAACATTAAATCACCATTAAATCACCAGTAAATCACCATTAAATCACCATTAAATTGCCATTAAATCACCATTAAATCACCAGTAAATTACCATTAAATCACCAGTAAATCACCAGTAAATCAACATTAAATCACCATTAAATCACCATTAAATCACCATTAAATCACCATTAAATCACCATTAAATTACCATTAAATCACCATTAAATCACCAGTAAATCACCAGTAAATCAACATTAAATCACCATTAAATCACCAGTAAATCACCATTAAGTCACCATTCAATTACCATTAAATCACCAGTAAACCACCATTAAACCACCATTAAATCACCATTAAATCACCATTAAACCACCATTAAACCCACCATTAAATCACCATTAAATCACCATTAAATCACCATTAAATCACCAGTAAATCACCAGTAAATCACCATTAAACCACCATTAAATCACCATTAAATCACCATTAAATCACCATTAAATCACCATTAAATCACCATTCAATCACCTTTAAATCACCATTAAATCACCATTAAATAACCAGTAAATCACCAGTAAATCAACATTAAACCACCATTAAATCACCATTCAATCACCATGAAATCACAATTAAATCACCATTAAACCACCATTAAATCACCATTAAACCACCATTAAATCACCTTTAAATCACCTTTAAATCACCAGTAAATCACCATTAAATCACCAGTAAATCACCAGTAAATCACCATTAAATCACCATTAAATCACCATTAAATCACCATTAAATCACCATTAAATCACCATTAAATCACCATTAAATCACCATTAAATCACCAGTAAATCACCATTAAATCACCATTAAATTACCATTAAATCACCATTAAATCACAAGTAAATCACCATTAAATCACCATTAAATCACCAGTAAACCACCATTAAATCACCAGTAAATCACCATTAAATCACCATTAAATCACCATTAAATCACCATTAAATCACCAGTAAATCATTATTAAATCACCAGTAAATCACCAGTAAGTCAACATTAAATCACCATTAAATCACCAGTAAATCACCATTAAATCACCATTAAATTACCATTAAATCACCATTAAATCACCAGTAAATCACCATTAAATTACCATTAAATCACCAGTAAATCACCAGTAAATCAACATTAAATCACCATTAAATCACCAGTAAATCACCATTAAATCACCATTAAATTACATTAAATCACCATTAAATCACCAGTAAATCACCATTAAATCACCATTAAATTACCATTAAATCACCATTAAATCACCATTAAATCACCGAGCAAAGCCACCGCATTTTTCTGCAGGCCTTTAGCCCACCACCACCGCCCAGCTCGTTGCCACCACTGGGCGCGTTGGGCCTTCAGCCGCCTCCACCACCGACCTTTGAGACGCCAGTGGCTTGCCGTGGGAGTATACCTGGGAGAATGATTGGGATTTTGAATAAGTTGATACCCTCTGGTAAACTAACATAACTAGAGAAAATCACCATTTTCAATGGGTAAATCCACTATAAATGGACATTTTCAATAGCTATGTTAAATTTTCAGAGGGTATTTAGTTTGGGATGTTACGGGGATTTAATGAGATATCATTGGATTGTTGGTATTTTATCCCTTCTCCCTAATACTAAACTAATGATTATGTGAATAGGGGTGTATTTAGAGCGAAAGGAAGAAGGGATTAGTTCTGGGATGTTATGAGATTAATGTGGTACACCTAATAGTCAACCTACCATTTGGGAATGGTTTTTTCCAGCACCCATTTATGGTGATGGGGACTGTGTATTCTTGGGTCCACATCAATCCCACTCCCAGAATATTAAACAACCCATTTTGTCAGTTTTTGACCATTGCTCATGTGGGATTTGTGTGCCTATCTCCGGGCCGATTTTTCAGGACTGTCTTGTGAGGAAGATTGGTCTCCAGCGCAGGTCATCATTTTGAGGATATCATGGTGATATATTGGGAATATCATGCTAAAATAATCTAAAATATTTATTGGGTTCATTGGTGATATATCTATTTAATTCTATTTATGGATTTTATCATTGGGTTGTCCTTTCATTTTCACCTCAGGTTGCCTTTCCTCAAATCCAGACTCTGGCCTGCAGGGAGGGAGGCAGTGAAAGATGTGGGTTGGTTCATCGATGTTCTTGACATATTATGACTACCTATAAATTATATATTTATAGTATTTTATAGTACTTATTAATCTGATTGGGACAACATGCCCCAAACATGTTTGATCAGAGACCACTTCTCAGAGGCTGTTGAGTAACTCAGGGACCTCCTTGTCCATCACTGGGGTGAACCTGTGTTTGCATCGTGTTTGGGTGGCTGTATCGGGACCACAATTGTTTAATGTGGGCGATGTCCTTTTCCACGGTGATGATACAACAATTTTGTATACCAAAGCGGCAACACTACTTGCCTGAAAAGGACAATATTGAATGTGGCTGTGCTTTTCCTTTTGTTAAATCCAGCTGCTATGTTGCTTCGTGTCAGAGTCCATTAGATACGAATTCCTGGTTTGCTTGCTTTGCAAACATTGGACGATTCTCCCCTGAAATTTCACGCATAGTAACGCCCCAAAACAATCCAAAAGATAGGTTCAGTGAACTGCCATAGTTATAGATTATCCCATAGTTCTATCATTCCCCATAGATATTCCTATATGTCATCCCATTGAAAAAACTTGTTAGTTCCATAACCTATAGGTAGGTATAGGTAGGTATCCCAATAGAATATATAGGTATCTATGGAAAAAAATAGGTAATCCCCATATCTTTTGGGGGATTATTGTTCTATAGTAAGTATAGTTCTATCTTTTGGGGAATTACTGAAACCAATCCTAAAAAAGAAACCAATCGACACGGCTATCCGCACGATGATCCGCTTGGATGAAAAATACATGTGTACTTGTTTATTATGTTATATATATAATAAAATGTAATTACACATATTTTGAAAAATCATATGTGTATATACACGGTATTACTAATTAATGTATTTGCATATGGGTTTGTCTGAAAATATGGTACCTCTAAATCCATTGCATAGTCAACATTTTCCCCATTCAATGGCCATTTAGAAGGTATAGCCCATTATCAGAGAGACCCATGTTATAAATTGTAAACATTTTCATAGATAAATATACATATATATATATACATATTACAATTACAATTGTATGGTATGATATACTGATACAATATGGTATGCATATGATAATATCATACATACATATTATATATATATTTATGAAATATATAAAATGAAAAACAAAATAAACATGGCCATTGCGCATATTACTATATATATATGATACTCATAGAGTTGCTTGCCATAACTGTTCTGTTCAACGTGCTCTGAGGCCAGGAGCCCATCCAACACATCACGTTGTGATGCCAGGAGCCGTTACGGCATGGTGATTTTCCACCGCAAGTTTTTCCACCAGAATCCCTGGAAATCCCCTAGATTTCTATATAATGTTCCCACAAATCCATATACCCTCCAGTAAATTAACATGAAGACCCTGCCAGATAGTTTTTTTTTAGATGAGTTTTTTGTAAAAATTGGTGATTGTCAGGGTCCAACTGTGAATTTACCAGAGGCTAATTTTATGATTTACTGGGATTTAATGACCATTAGGAATGGGATTTACAGGATTTAATGATGATTTAATGATGACCTCATGTGATTTAGCGATGATTTAATGATGAATTAATGGGATTTAATGATGTTTTTCCTGGAATCAATGGGGTTTAATAGTATTTAATTATGATTTAATGGAAATTAATCATGATTTAATCATGATTGGTGGGATTTGATGATGATTCAATGGGAATTAATTAGATTTCATGATGATTTAGTGGGAAGTGGACAGACTTAGTTGGATTTAATTGGCACTAATGGGGATAAAATAGGAGAATCAAACAACAACGGTCGACGGCCTGTTCACGCGCGGCCGACTTGGTTTGTCATCTTTGCTGAGTCAGAAGTTTGGCTAGTTGAACAAGAAGTCAGCTAACATCCCCCCACCCCAGCGTGGCGTAGCATCAACAACGTGAGCAAGTTACATGGAACGTTAACATCCCCCCCCTGTACCATCAGTTACATCAGTTGTTCCTGCCCCCCCCTCCCCCCCCTTTCAGAGCAGCATTGTAGAGAAGCAGAAAACACTGTAAAAAACAGTACAAAATGCACATTCAGCAGTGTGTGTGCGCGTGAACACCCCGTCGGAGGGAACAACAATATAATGGTGATTTCATTCGTTCAATTCTCGCTCATTATCCACAAATTCATTGTTCCAAATTCATGATCCAAATGAACTATAATGTAGTAACTATGGATTCTATTATCTGTAGCTGTTCAGGAGCTCCTCCCGCCCCGAGCGCGGCGGCCTTCACCGCCTTTCCGGCGCCTGTGGCTGCGCCGTGCGCTCCGTTCGCTCCGCCCAGGGGCCCTCAAGGGCCATCCTTGGGTGCCTTGGAGCAGCAACAAATGGTGGGTTTTACAGGAGATTTCACCATGAAAAATCAAAAAAACATGATTAAACACATGTTATATGCGGATTGAGAAGTGTTGCCTTCTCTGAAAAATTGATATGATTCAGATGATTCCCTGTGTAGATGCACCCCTGTAGGGGTTTGGTCTAGGCTGCGGAAACACAAACAGGTTTCAGTTCAAATTCTATATAGAAATTGCAACGCGCTTGATCTAAACCAATCATTCAAGAATATTTTACTGTAAATATGTTTTCAAATAATTTTTGATACTCTGGAGCGCACCAGCAAAAAAATGAAAATTATAGCCACAGGTGTGAGGGTTGAAGGTGCATGTCTATCAAATATACGGGCAGTTCAAAGTGCCAAAGCGAAGCTTCACGAGGGCTATATATATATTGAAGGTGGTTGGGATGATACATGTTTGAAATAAATAAAAGGGGTTGACGCGTTTCCCCATCGTTTTCCAAGCGCGTTGTTTGTTGGCCGTGTCCGCCGCGTCCCAGGCGATGCGGAGGTGAAGGCTGCAGCCTCCGCTGCGCTGAGTAAATTCATGAAGGACGACTGGCCTGGCCGGTCGTCGAACGTCGATCCGTTGTTTAAAAAGGGGTTACAACGGGTAACAATTGGTATTTAGTACAATGTGAGGCCCCCGTTCGATAGCTAAGTTGGTGCACATAACTCGAATAACTATGGTTTATGGCATTTATAACTTATAACTGGGGGGCCTCACGTGGTAGGGAAACCTATTTAGTGACTAAGCCCTATATTGTTAAGAAATGTAAAGAATCTTTATGAGGGGTTACATGGGGTTTGATATGGTTTGATTCATGTTTGAAAATATATGTCTTAAGGAACCCCCTTGGATTATGGATGTTCCTAACCTATTTTTTGTTTATTGTTTTAAAGGTCAGAAACCACCAACCAGATGATGGCCATGAGCTTAGCAGGGAATGGATGGGAATGTGACGCCCGCTTTGCACCAGTAAAAAGTTGTCCATTTCTCCTCAACTGACTGGATGGGAATTTCTGAACATTTCCGAATCATCTTGTTTGAAGATGTTTATTTGCTTTCGCACATGGGAATATGGTTTAATTGTATCTCTATATATATATGTAATATATATATATATATCATCGGGTTGCTGAAGTCCAATTGATGGTTGATACTGGAATAGGAACTTATTAACCATGAGTAACCACGCATTAATCATCAAGCATTATCCATAGATGTGTATGGAATTACCCAGCAATTGAGATAATTGTTGTGTGTGACCGGCAATAGCAATTTGTGGGTATGATGGTACAGTAGCAATTCGGATATGATTGTATTGACATCTGGTTACAATACCAGCAATTGATGGTTAATAATTGGGATATGATGGTAACGGATAATATATAAGCAACTTGATATGATACTTAGGTGTGACTGAACATAGCGGGGATACTGGTATACTAGTGCCATTGTCATTTCAATGGGAAATCGTGATTTACCAATTGATTTAGGGGTACCCTATTGCCAGACAACATCATAAATCATTTCGGGGCATAATAAGGTATAATAACATATAGTAACCAACAAACATAGTTTTCAAAATAGGATCTATATTAGAGTTAACCTTTCAAGATACATGATATTACATATATCTAATGCCCGATAATGCATTACCTATGTTGGTCCACAAAATGCATACCAGGTATGCATACCAGGTTTTACACAGAAATAACCAATTGCCATTGAACTATTTAACATGTGCTCCATTGGGATCAGAGACAGTCCTTTGAGTTTGGACATATAGGGAGGTTCAGTGGAATCACGGAGAGTCGGACATAAGTTTCCCCATCCTTTATGAAAACATAAGGTTATTTTCATGAGGTGATATGGTTATCTGGTTGGTGGTGACTGGAACATGAATGGATGACTTTTCCATTTGTTTTGGGAATGTCATCATCCCAACTGACGAACTCCATCATTTTGCAGAGGGGTTGGTTGAAACCACCAAGCAGATTATTATTAACCATCATTAGTGTCATGAACCATATAATATAACCATTAATATTTATATAACCATTAATGTATATAAACAGTAATGAACCATATAATATATACCATTAATATCTAACCATTATTAACAGTATATTACCAACCAATGGTAGGGCTCCACCACCAACCAATGGTAGGTCAACTACTCGCGCTCCCAGGACTTGCCCAACGACTCGCCCAGCCAGCCCAGCCACAGCCACAAGCGTCTTAGCTGTTTTTTGTACCCCCCCATGTTTACCATGTTTATGGGTGGTAGAAACAGGTATACTCCATGAACATAATGTTGGACATTATTATGAACATATCATACTTATATATAATATATATATATATATATATACTTTGGCTGGAGTTAGTTAACTAAGTTAACTAGTTAGTTTGACTGGATCATCATCGGGGATAGTTCGTGGGTGGGTTATGACCCACCTACTAACTTTCCATTTTTTGCGTTTCTCCCATGCCCATCTTGAATGTGCCAGGTCCATAGTGTGGTCCTAGGTTTTGGGGAAAATCTGCGGTTGAAAACCATGTTTTTTCTCTCGAAACTGTGGGGTTTTCCTGGAAATCTTACCTTTTCAAAAGAAATCCTGGTACCAATTGGTTTTAGGGATTGGTTCCAAAAATTGGTTCCAGGGATTTTCCCATGGCCAGGCGTTCGCGTTCGCGAAGTGGGCGAAGTGGGCGAAGTAGTGGCCTGGCCGACCTGTCGGGGGATCATCGACCAGCTGCATGGAGGGGTTTAGCTGCGATATCCATGGAGGGGTTTAGCTGCGGATAAATCTACAGGACCAGATTGTCTCCCGAAAAATCTTGGGGCTTTCCGGGTTTTCCTGTAGAAAAATTGCGAAAAAAGCAGTTCTGGGACTTCAACGGTTGAATATGATCTCCGTCTGCGGCTCTTGGAGCTCCCCGGGGCCAGAAACGTTTTTTCATGGCTCCCACAAGAGGTATAAAAGTGATTCCCCATGTCGATGATACTGGACTATTCCATGGGAGGACATGAGATTACAAAGACTATAGACAAAGGTAAACATGGGTAGTTTCATGCTCTATAATCATATGTGTGTGATGCATGCTTTATCATGCTTTCATATGTCATATTTATATATATTTATTGCACAGCATGCTTGAGGGTAGTGTAACAGTGTATCTGAAGATTGGCCATTATACATTCATGATCATGTGGGTTTTTCTCAAAATAAGTAACTTCCAATCAATTGACTCATTTTCCCTATCGAATAGACATAATTGGGGGGATACCCAATTCTCAGACATGTTGCTGCTTATATAAATATTCATTAATATTGCATTTAATATCAGAATATATCACCATTATGAGCTCATTATATCACTATTAACATCTATTAACCATCAATTCTTCGCAGTTTGCCACACCATGGGTGCCACCCGTTTCCGCCTTTTGGAACCTGTCTCCGACCGTTTGTTTCCTCAGGTTCCACGTCGCGGCGGCGGAGGAGGAAGAGAAGCCGCTCGCGGAAGCGGAAGAAGAGCAGCAAGGAAGGTGCGGGTCCCGGCAGCTGGGGCAATTACCATAGTTGGGGGAATAACCATCCATTCACCAATGAACTTTTGGAGGTATACCAGGGGTTTGACCCATCTCCAGATCATTTTGGGAGATATGTTCAGACACATTTAGTGATTTCGCCATCAGATTTATGAATTTCTTGGGTGTCATCTCCTGGTCCCTTCATCACTCCAAGTGGTGTCTGAATGGTGTCTGAAAATGCGGTACCCCCAAACATCTATTAGTCCTAAAAATGTCATAAAATCACCATTTGGGGGGTAGCCCCCACATGTTCTGACACGTCCAAGATTCAGAGTGTCGGTGACATCCTGTATGGAAAAAAAGCACAAAAAAGATAGGGTTCACTAGGCTTTATAACTCCCATTAAAGATCAAAAGAGATGGTTCGACCCTCTATTCCCTATGTTCTCCAACATTATCCGAGTCTATACATCAATTTTTCCCCATCAAAATCCCCAAAAAAAGAACGACTCCCGAAGGTCATTTCCTGCCCAGGTGATGAAACTTTACTGGAACCACCCCCTGCGCCCCGAAGCAAATGGGATGATTCTACCACACCGGCCTGGATGCAAGTGACTTGGCGCCAGTTGATGTCATAAACCACAAAAACTGGGAATATCTGGGAATGGTGATTTGGAACATGTGTTTTTATTGTTCCATATATTGGGAACAATCATCCCATTTGGCTGAAAATAATGAATACATATGAATACCTGGTTGGTGGTTTGGAACATTCCATATATTGGGAATAATCATCATCCTAACTTTCTAATTGATGAGTAAGAAAATCTACCACAAATACTGGGAATGGTGGTGACTGGAACATGAATGGATGATTTTTCCATATATTGGGAATGTCATCATCCCAACTGACGAACTCCATCATTTTGCAGAGGGGTAGGTATAACCACCAACCAGCCCACAAAATTGATTGGGAATGCTAACCATACCACATAAAAAAGGTGATGACTGGATTGTTTTACCCACACTAGTGTTGACCCCTGGTATGATTGTTGATTTAAAAAGGGTCGTACGGTACGAGTATACTGGCTTAAGTTTGCCGTATGAAAACTTGATCCATGATGGGAATCCATGTGAATTGGCAGTTTTTTGTACCATTCCGAGGAATCTGAGCTGCCTGATATTGTTTCCAATCCCATCTCATGACAACCAAAATGAAGCAAAACCAAAACGGTTTGTCCCAATGGGGCATACCCTCAACACATGTTGGGAGAAAGACAGCAGACCATGAAATTTAGGGCTACCTATGGCTACCTCATTTTCAGAACCTTAAATGATTGCTGGAAACCGTGAAAGGCCACGGGGGTTCTTTGGTCCACAGGATCTCATGATTTGGGCGGGAAATTCAATGGGGGGTATGACAGGTGTGTCTTGGAAAAGTAGCTGTGGGCCATCAGATGTCACATGTGGGAGTCGTGATCAGATTGATGGTCTTCAAACATGGTTTAGTCATGTTTAGTCTGAGATTATGGTGATTAGACGTGTTGAAACTTCCCAAGTTTTGCTGGGGGATGCATTGTTCTTAATTATCAAGCTCTGATATTGGTTGGTTCAGGCAGTACATGCCTTTGCAGGGAGACTTTGCGTGGGCTGGTTCAATCTTGGCACCTTGGTACTTGTAAAACTGAAGATTTCAGTCATAATTCCTAGAAGATCATTGGCTTTCAGTGATATGAATGCCCCACCGTTGTGGAATCTGGCACAGCTTCCATTGAACAGTAAATGAAATGATGAGTTTCCATTGGCATGCTTTGGGATTTTCTCTGAGCATCCTGATCGCAGCCTAAGAGCCTAAAAGGACAACACCAGAGGTGGTGTCAGAGATGTTTGTCCCACTATGGTGTTTCAACGCTGTTGATTGAAAACATGCTATAACATACTATAATAACTTTACTCGAGCACACGCTTTTGAAAGTTATTTTGAGTGTAATTGTATACGTGTTGCAAAAATGTCATATCTCTTCATGTACACATAAACTTTACCCACTTTGACAACACAATGAATTCACATCAAGCACAAAATCTAAAGGCAACACCCACCACTCTTGTCATCTCTGGATATGTCGGGGGAGCCAACCAGCCCAATAGGGGCCCCAGGGTGGGTAACTTTTTCAGATAGGCCATGGGATTCACTAAGTGATGAGTAAGTGGCTTAAAATCTACCACATACACTGGTTGGATTGGAACATTTTTTTTCCATATGACATGGGAATGTCATCATCCCAACTGACTACTACTTGTGTGAACAACTGACTGTCATATTTTTTCAGAGGGGTAGGTCAACCATCAACCAGGTTATTAACCATCATCAACCATATAATATAACCATATATTAATCATTATTAACAGGATATTAACCACAAGGGTAGGTATACCACCAACCAGTTATACATCCAAAATTCCATGACTTATCAAAAAATGTCAGGATATGGTCGAAGCCTTGAAGAACGACTCAACGCGACCCAGAACTTCAACGGCTTCCACAGCTTCACCCCCCGCAGTGTCCAAAAAGAACGACCCGGACCAACCCAAAGGCGCGCCTTCGGGTGGATGACGAGTGGGTGGAATCGCGTTTGAAAATTCGGTAGCCCTAACTTTATATTTTCGGGGGATGTACGGATATATAATGATGTACTGTATATATAATATTTATATAATTAAATATTATATATATATATCCCATGCTCAGGAAAACTCTTACTCCATCTGACGTATGTTGAGATATTTTGGATGACCTGTGGCGTCAGCGTCAGTGGATAGTTTGAGTTGGTTGTCTTGGATCATGGCTAGGCCCAATAGTATACCCTCTGGTAAACTAACATAACTATGGAACATCACATTTTTTCATGGGAAAATCCACTATAAATGGCCATTTTCAATAGCTATGTTAAATTACCAGAGGATATTTACCATTATTTACCTACAACACTGGGCCATTTGCGGGGTAAATGTTGGTAAATATTCCAGCACCATGGCGCAGATGGGTATAGTAATTAGCCTCCAAAAAAAAAGACAAGTTTCAATTCACGACCAGTCAAACCAGTCGAGTGATGCCAGTGGGTCACTGCAGCAGAGAAGGCCAGGGGCTGAGGGGTTTCGCCAAAAACCGTGTGCCTCACACTTTGATGGTTAACCACCATTTTTCCGTGTAAAACAGGCAGGGAGACTACCCCCTTTTGTTAATGATATGTTATTTAAGAATGACATGTATAGAACGTATTTCCACCAGGAAAATCTTGGTAAACTGGTTAAACCCGCATGTTGATATTCGTGTTTACAGCTTATCACTATAGCGTCAGGGCACAAAGTCATTGATCTCCCTGCGCATCTCATCCGAGTGCTGCGTCTCGGTCTGATTTTGTTTGCAACGTTTCGGAACCACAACTGGTTGGTGGTTTGGGAATAATCATCCCAACTGACTCAACTGACTTTCATATTTTTCAGAGGAGTAGGTATACCACCCACCAGACAAAGGTGTGTTTGAAAATGGGGGGGTCTAAAATATCATTGGCGTATCCCAAATGATCTAAGTCATTAGGCCATGGCTTCGTATTGTCTATGGTGATGACTGGGGTACCCCCATGACGACTGGGAACCTCTAAATGGGTTTACCATTGGATGTGGTGGTATTTTCAGACAGGTATGTCACCACCGACCATCGGTAAATATTGGAGATATGTCATGGGATATGACCAACCACAATTGGTGAAGGCAATATTGGGCACATAGTGAGGATATCATATTATGATATAATAGGACTATATGTTCAATTTAGTTTGTCATACAAAAATTCTGGATTTAGCAAACCAAAATGAGGTTGACCGTAAACATTGGGATATGACAAGTTTTCACGGAATATATGCGATTATAACTAGGTTTCTGGAAGATAATGGATCTACTGGGATTAGATGGGATTCGTATGGAACAGGAGGGATCCCGTAGTGAGATGTCATCGGGTACATAACAATCCAAAATCTCAAGATGTTTTTGCTATAGATTTCTGGTGATGTTTTTGTGGTGGGCCTGTGATTTTAGGATACCCTCTGCTAATTTAACGCTATTGAAATGGCTCATTAACAGTTGAGAAAAACCTATTCCAAATTCCAATTGGAGATTTTACATAGCTATGTAAACGTTTACCAGAGGGTACATATTGATACATATATTAACACACCAGAAAATATGGTGTCGTGGGTAACGTACAGCCAAATCTGTGGATCCAGATCCGTAGGTCAGTTTTGGAAGTGGGCCAGGAGCGGGTAAATTATGGTTGCTATTTGAATACGTTCAAGAGGAGTGGGCCATGAGTTATTAAGCATTGTCTTTCGTTGATTTATCTGTGATGATCCGTTTGTGCTGAAAAAAATGCAAACATATTGACATATATCCAGTCATGTAGGGAAATATACCATACATGGAGCATATGGGTTTGGTGGCTTGTCCCATATATAAGCCCAATTTTAAGTTTATGCGTAAGTAAACCCGACTTGCCTAAATCAAAACTGTCTATATACATCTTTATTTATGAATAGATGTAGCAGTATAGTACGTATACAACATATTACAAAATTAGGTGTATATATATATATACAGCACTATGTACAGCATTACATAGGCCATCTAGTATTACTATGACTTAAACCAACGAATAATCTTTGAATCAGGCTCTCAGGTTGGCTACATCAGAAAAAAATCGGATGTTTGGTACCTTTTAAGTATCATGAATTCGCACCTTGTTGGCCTTGTTTTGGGCTTTGAAATTCAATGTCCTGAACCAGACCTTTTAGGTGTGGAGGAAGCGTGATCTTTTTCGGAGTGATTCATTAAGGTGGATGTTTTTCATGCGCAAATTTATTGCAGGTGTTCTGCGCAATCAGCCAGAATGGTCATTCATAGTACATTATCGTACATTATCCATGAAGATATACAACCTAATATCCATTTCCATCATTTATCAATAATCATGGACGCATAAGACTGGAATTCATCGTATTGCATCATATTGCTTTAATCTCCATCAATCTTCCGCTTCAGCTTTCAATTATCCTGGTCTCCAGATCTGTTAACCTAGGATTGGCAAAGCTGGTTCGACCATCAGAGAGGTCATCAGCAGGAGCGCTCTGCAAATTGGGAGACTAATGAAGGGTAAATTATAGGGATTTATGGTGGATTTACCGTGGGTTTGTGATGGAGAATTGGTTATAAGTTGGTTTAAAACTTTATCCAACTATAGAAAGATAAATCCTGGGCCAATCCAACAGTTACAGTAGCCTGTTTATAAGCCAACTTAGCCATCATTTGGGGGCCCCTCCCTGTACGCCCCGATAATAATAGACCACGGCAATGGACACTGATTTGTTCATTATTTTTCAACATCATCCATTTGTAAAAGTGTTTTGGTTTCCCAACAACTTGTTTATTGTTGAACTCATTGATTGTTCTTGGTCATTACCTAAATCTTCAATCTTGTTGTACACAATGATATTAATTCTTCATTTTGATTGGGCAAATTATATGATCTTTGTTGTTTAAGTATGGCAAGTATGGTTTTCTAGATCACTAGATCACCATTCTTGTGGGGGAAAAAATCACCTTAATCACCATCTTTCTGGGAAAACATGGATTTCTGGGAGAAAAAAGCGTGTCACGTGTCCGTGTCACAGATGGAGATCGAGGACCGGGTCGGATATCAAGGTGAATCACTTGCCGCACGAGCCACATGGAAGCCGCTTGGTCGGAGGCATGGATTTACCATAGGGGTTTATGATGGTTTATGATGGGATTTTTTTTTTCGGATGGTGGATTTTTTTTTCGGATTCTCTGGGGGTTTATGATGGTTTATGGTGGGATTTGTCGCCATGGAAAAATGAGATATGCCCAATTCTTCCGCTAGGCTTAACAATATTGAGGTATTTGAAAGCAGAGGTTTTCAGGATGGGCTAAACTTGGCTAAACGTTCATTTGACACCCAAAAAAAGGCGCATTTCACTGGTGACAGAGCAGGCTATGTGGCTATGTGGCTTGGGTGATTTCCATTGTCCATCATGTCACGGTTCTTACGTGTGTTGGCAGCAGTCTAGCCATGGATTTAAATTATTTGGTACCCTACAAGATTCCCTGAAATCTAAAGTGCCAGAAAATCAAGCAAAACCGAAACCAAAAACGAAACCTTTATATAGATGCGGATTTTGGATGATTTTGGATGATTTTGGAAGATTTTTTCGAACATAAGTCCACATGCTTCACTTTTTTTTTTTAAAAGTTGCATTTTCGTTTCCAGACGACACTGCTAGCAGCGATGTCAGCCTACCAAATCAATGTTTCTGAGGGATTTTCCTTTCATTTTGTAAGAGGAAACCAGGCTCCCAAGAACGAAACCTATAGATATGCCTAGTATTTTCGCCGCGTCTTCATGAAAACAAGAGTGGCTCATGTGGTTCAACATCTGAGCAGTGATTGCTAAATCCCCTACTCATGATCATTGTAGAGTGTGATACTGGTACCAACAGATATAGGTCCGAGGCCCAAGCCAAACCCATGAAATCTGCTTCGGGATTTACTGTGGATATGTATCCATATTGAAAAAATATCGGCGTAATCACCATGGTTAGACAAGCAGCTGCGGAAAATCATTATGGAAGGCGAACCCCAAATTTGTGGGGGAGTTATTGTGTCCAGAAACATCCACGGCTGGAGGTATTTCTGTCGTTGGAGACATTGAGACTTGACATGGATCTGGGGGACGAAGTTCGGTTGATGGTTGACAGCCAGCATGACATCGCAGACGTCACGTTTCGGGTTTCCCGGAGTGAGAATATACAGTAAACTGTAAATGTTACTATGCAATACTATATAATTAATATAGATTGACTCATATTGATTTGTATAATTACCATATATATATATTGCCGTGTACATAGTACATCATATTATATTACCATATATTTATTATGTGTATGTCCATGTTATCATGATTTTATCTGAAACCATATCTTGATTATCCGAGATCTGTTGAGATAATCTGGTGAAATCCAAGAGACGGGATATGTTCCGCTGTTGAGAGATTGAGAGAGGAGCATCCTCATGGCTACTATTAATGGGTTATTAATGGTTATTAATGGGTTATTAATGGGTTATTAATGGTTATTAATGGGTTATTAATGGGTTATTAATGATTATTCATGATGGGAAAACTATGGGTATATAACCCACTACAAAATGATGGTTTAATGGGATAAACAACCAACAAAAATGGTGATTTCTAGATGGGATATAACCATCTGGTTATGACTGTTACAGTTCGCCATGGTATAGATGGTCCATAGAAATAGATGATGTACCAAAACAAAATGTGATGATTTTCCATGGCTATGTAACAAATAACCAGAGGGTAGATATTATTTACTGTGGATCATGTTTCTGAAACAGGAGGGGCGTTACAACTTTCTGGAGGGTCGCCAAGGTTTCAATAGCATGTCTGAGTCAAAGGTGACAGGCTGGTCATGATGACAGGCCCCTCGAAGGGGTGCCGAACGACTGTTGGGTTCTTGATCTTACAATGGGTGTTTATTTTGAAAAAAATCGTTCAAATGTCCAGTGATCATAGCTACCACAATGATCCACAATGAAATGTACATCAAATCCCATATTTCGAACGGCGCGTGGTTCAAACATGTTCAAACCCTGAAATCCACTTGACACGTTACTTCGGGGTGCAAATGACACGCAATGACACGCAGGAGCTGGCAGGATTCCGCCCGTTGGGGGTGCTAGTTGTTTGGTCAATGCAGTTGGTGTTGCAAACGTGCCTTCCCTAAAAGCACCCCAAAGCAATTTTGGAGTAGAACAAAGTCTGGCTGAGCCCAGAATGGTTTTAGTTTAGGGAAACTGGATGCACTTGGAAAGAGATCATCAAGTTATCGTTTCGTTTTTGAACAGAGGAGGTATAAGCGAGACTGGGGCAACCAACTTTTTTGGAATGTTCACAGCAGTTATATGTTTGCTCTCGTTTGATGGAGGTAGCATCTACTTTATTCTGCTTGAAACAAGACATGGTTTGTCCCAAAATAGGATACTCCTAAAATCCGGTTGATCACCATGTTCCTTTTTAACATAGCCATAACTTGGGCGTAGAATACATATAATAACATATTATAGCTATTTTTCACAGCAACAAAAGCTTGACCTTTTTTTGCAGCTGTGAAATCTCTACGTTGAGGCGAAAACAGAGGCGGTGATTCAGGAAGTCTTTCGAGCGAGAGGATGTCGCTTGGGCGTGGGATGGGCCAGGACACGCAAGTGCTGCAAGCTTCATGGGCTAACTGATGATAGATCGGGAAGTTTCTGCGTTAATTCTGTTTTTGTTTAACCAATTTATGTGTTTGGAAGATGCTGTTAGTCATTCCAGAGTCCAAAAAATCGTGTAATTATATCTATGTTTTTTTTTTCATATTTTTTGGGACTCCCATTTTTGACTAAGACTGACTAAGACTCTAAAGAATCAATGGCCAAAATATCCAAGTTACATTGTTGGAGTCGCTGGAGATCTTCGGAGAGTTCGTTTGGCTGTGCCGATATTTTTGGAACCCCCGAGAGTTCAAAGGCGAAAGGTATATAAGATTATATAAGTCAATTCTGAAATAGGGGAATTACTTAAATGATAGTCAGTTCCATTCAGTTCCAATCTATTGTCATTTTTTGGTCAATTTGTCAATTCCAGTTATATTCAATGGTTTGACATAAATCATTCATTTCTGGTGGTTACATGTGGTTACTCGGTGGTTTTTCTGAATTTTCATGACCTTACCAATGTCTCTAAATGGCTGAGAATCAGTGGGTTGGTACCCACAATGTGATGGCGGCTTTCCCGTAAAAGCTATGTGGCTATGGCAAGCTATGTGTGATTGTTTGCTTCTTTGTTGATTAAAATTTATGGCCTTTGGCATGGTCACCATGCCAATTTCAACTTTAGTTCAAGTCATGTTTGGTTGGTTGGTACTCCTTAGTCAAATTGTTTGAGCATGTTTGAACATTTTCCTGATTTTGTTCTTGGTCACGCCCATGTCTATATACATTTATATATATATATATACGTGTATATAATGGTGAGTTCTAGCTGAATAAACTCGTTGCCATCAACTCACCAGTTAGATACCCACTAGTTAGATTGTTATATGAGCAACCGACAAAATTATTGTAATACTAAGGCGTGTGCAAAACCTTCATTAGGGGACGACCCTATACCGATACCCATGTTTTACATGAGTTGCCTCAAAATCTGAGAACGCAGAAGTGCTCACAACCGATAGGGGACGACCTTAATTTGTGCACGGCATGAAAATGAACAAGTATTTTTGCCCGCTATTCATAATATATATATATATGTATATATATATATATTATATACATATATGGAGTGATATTTACATATAGTATATATATATATATATATATAATACACATACGCTAGCTAGTTACAGCATATTTACAAACTAGCTAATCTATGTGTTATGTTTTTACATCACAGCAGTCAGGCAAATGGTCGCCAACTGGTGCCCCCTTGGCTGAGCAAAGCCAGGCCCGGGAGCGTCGATGGGTGGTACCCTAGTCTTGGTGATTAGAAATAAAGATTGGGTATATAGCAACAAATTCCATTGCTGACGAGCCCCCATTCCATAGTCACGGGACCCATTTGTTTCCCGTTATTTCCCATAGAAACATGTTGTTTCCATTATAGGTGCTTTGTGCTTCACTCTGTTTAGTAGTGACTCATGTTGCTTATGCTTAATATCTCATAGTCACAACTTGACACACTCCACTTTCCTGATTGGAACCAGGTTCACACATATATATATATACATACATACATTATATATGCTGCTGCAAGCATGACGAACCACTCAGTGATTGGTTTCGATTGGCACATATATATATATTGGCAGAATTTATGGATGTGGATCTTAGCCGCCACGTCTGGAGCCAAGCCAGTTGGAGCTACAATCAGACTAACCACATTTGACCACAGAATAGAAGTAGCTAGTTGATAAGTTTGACAAATTTACTTATTATATGTTATTCTGTTATTAGTTTCCATGTGTTTTCTTAAATGTCACCATTCATGATGTATAGCTATTTTTGGGGAGTAGCCCCTTTGGGGCCCAGCCGAAGACTTGACGTCAAGTCGTCCAGGAAGATGTGCCGATTTCCGCAGATTTGGCCGCTGGGATTCAGCGGTGCTGAGTAGGTGAATTTATTCATGAACCAATAAAGTATATCCTATGAATATGGATCATATATACATTAATGGGATAATTATAATGGTAATACCCACAAAAATACAAATTTTATGGGATATCCTATGCATATATACCATAATATGTAATTTATTTCATGGTTTTAATACCCATAGGATCCATGTATGCTATTTATGGTAACATGGATCCCATCAATATACCAACAATGTTAGCACATATACAATACATGGATCCTATGGGTATATCAATGTTGATCATTCATAGGGTTATATCAATATTGATTGAATATAAGTCTATAACATCATTTATAGTTGGCTAATGTTGTTTGGTTATAAGTTATATAACGTTTTAGTGAACTGGAAAAATCACCATGTTTAAAGGGTAAATCATCCAAATCATATGTTGCTATGGGCCATCTATACCATAGCTATGTTAAAGAACCAGAGGGTAGATGCTATGTGATATAACCCTGGTTGGTTGTTTGGTTGGTCGGTCGGTCTGTTGGTTGGGTATTGAAGTGGGATTTGACCATGATTGTTGGTTTTACTTTGAACCCTGTTGATTCGCTATGATATGGTGGTTACCATCAAATAGGGTTTTCATTGCCATCATGCCATCAAAAACATGGAGATGGAAGCGAAAAAGGTTGCCATCTGAAGCCATGCCATAGGGAGGCAGGACCTAGGGTCAGGATTTATGCCATCGATATTGTGGAAATGATTTGATGGGAATAATTGTTTTTTTTGTCTTCATAACCATGGTAGTATTATGTAGCACTATAATGCACTATAGTTCATAAACATGGTAGTATTATTTATATAGCACTATAATTAAATGGAATTAATGCACTATAGGGATAGTTTACCATCGCCCTAAAAAAAAGACTCTGGACATCAGCCAGTCGTCTAGAGGAGAGAAGTTGTCCACTCCCAACTCATGGCAGGGTCGAACCCCATCATGCCCCCATCCTGAGAAGGTACAACTGGATCCATGCAAATCTATAACATCCCGGTATGGTTGGATATTTCCATACTATAACAATTCAATACAATTCATGTCCATACTATAACTTAATATGACATCCCATATTTTTTCAATGATATACCCCCATTTTGCCTTACTTTTTGAAGGGTGAAATGTGATCATCCGATCGCCCGGCTTAGCCTGGCGCCTTTAGGTGGGACTTTTCATTGGTAAAGGTGGTGAAACCATCAAAGACCTTCGAGAAAGGCGACCCAACTCGACGACGAAAACGGGGGATTCCGGGGGACTTTTAAGGCAGATTTTGTTGGAGATGGGTTGGAAGCCAAGATGTAAAAACCAACCAAGACTGGGGCTGGTGCTTTGGAACATGATTTTTTATGGAATATATATGAAATTATATGAATATATGGTATATTATATATTGGATATCCATGGAAATGATCTGTAAAATTACGTGGTTTGGAACATGAATGGATTATGACTTTCCATATATTAGGAATAGTAACCCCAACTGGCTTTCATATTTTTTTTTAGAGGGGTAGGTATACCACCAACCAGAAGAAATATAAAGAACCATGCTGGATTTTGACAATTTGTAACCATTTTGTTTGTTTTTGTTTTTTGTTTGTGCGAGCAAACACAATGCCATTGGGTATGATTTGATGCTTCGCCAGTTTCGCCAGGACGAAGAGGTGAAAGAACCTATCTGATATCACCAGTTTCCCTATATCAAATTGATGCTTCAGACACAACACCCTCATGTTGGATGGTTTAATCATTCTAATCCCAGTAAACTCGTAGTTTCTTGACTTGGCAAAACGCGTCCATTTTTGGATGGCGTCCTCGTTATGAGTTCCCCCATGCGCACTATGTTTGATGGTGCCAGGTGCGGTGGACAGGTGTCAATCACCATCCAACCCGCTTCGACACCTGGGGGAATGCAGGGCGTTCGCGTGCCTCGGACGGGGGGGGAATGATGGGGATTTTTCCATGGGAATATCATGGGAATATCATGGGAATATCATGGGACCTAAGTCACCAACTTGATATGATAATTATATGTTTTGTTTGTCTGAAAAAGGGTGATGTTTTTGGGCCCCCTAAGTCACCAGCCATTTTAATAGGGAAAATAGGGATGATCAACCACTGGCAAAATGGCTAGTTGGTGGTCTTTGAGCCAGTTCACCCCCTTAAATCCACTGGTTGATCATCAAATTCGCTCTCCGCGAGGTGGTGGGAGACAACTGGAAACTGGCCAAAGCTCTGGTTCGTGCCAAGATTGAAGCACCTTTGGCAGAAGATTTCTGGAAGGGGGGGCATGCTTGGAAATCAAGGAAATCAATGCCAGAAATCTGTTTTCCTGGACAAATAGATTGGTACTAATTATTGGATGGTCCCATGAAGTCGAAGATGGCTGCATTTTCAGTGGAGATTGAGCTTTCACCAGTTCCAAGTCAATGTTGATTCCATGGCTTCTGAAGGAGAAATCCTGAAGGCAGAGACATCCCATCCGTGTTCAAAGCATTTGGAATAAACATGAAATCAGTCACCCCACACATTGATAATCCAAAAACAATATTTGATAATATAATATTCATAATATATATATATAATCCCATTTTACTTCTAATTTTTGGATTGTTGCAACCACCAATCAGCATCTCGGAACTCAGGAGTTGATGATGTCGAAGAGTTTCAAACAGAGCGGTGCCAGAAGTTAAAATCAGCAACGTGACGACTTTGGTGATGTGGCCGTGGGGTCAACAAAAATTCGACCTGGAAAACCAGAGATTTTGGTGTCATGAACATGGATCAATGACACTACGCATGGTTTGACCATGTTTTGTTTTGTTGATCCAACCATCCACTTTCGGGTGTACCGGGGATTGCTGAAGGCAGGAACCCCCTAAGCATCTCCCACTACGAGAGTCCCAGGGTAATCCAACAAATGTGCGGGGATTTCGGGTAAAATCACAACATCGTTGTAGATTTACTGCGGTATGTGGCAACTTGGGAAGTGAACATGTACTGGCAAAAAAAAGGACATGCACAAACATGCCACTTCATGCCACTGGAAGGCAGCCTGGCCTGTTGTTTCCAACATTTGTTATTATCAACGGCTGCAGGAATCTCCAGATCTACAGCAAAGCTCCAAATATTCTATGATTTTATGTGTATATATATACAGTATATGATCTTTACCTCACACTTTCCAGGTTTCCAGCTTTTCTAATCGATTTACGCCCCCTTTGTTGGTTTCAATCTCCAACCCACCAGCCCAGCAGGGGGGGAAGTTGGTGGATAAAGAGGTATGATTTACCAAATCTATTTGTTGTTGATGGTTGCTGACTATCTTTGTTGATGGTAAATCCATCTATCTTTATTTTACAAAGATGGATTCCATTTGATGATGGTTGTACCCTCTGGTAGACTAACATAACTATGGAAAATCACCATTTTTCATGGGAAATTTCACTATAAATGGTGATTTTCCATAGCTATGTCACAGTCATTACCAGAGGGTAATCCATCTTTGTTGACGCTTTCGTCACCGAGTCCAATTTTATCCACTTACGTGACGCGTTGTGTGACGCGTTGTGTGACTTTTGCTGCACAGCATGCTGACAACGGAAGAATAGCAAAAAACTGCGCTAAGTTTGATGTTTGTTGACTTTTTTTTGTGGAAAAAACAAAACACCTGTTCCGACGTCAAATGTTTTCAAACCACTATCAAACATCCAATTTTATGGGATTGTAAACATATTATAAACATCCTTTCGTGGACAACTACATTTAGGGACCTACACCTCTGCGCAGATGTTGTCTCCATGTCGGCTGAGGAGTGGGATCGCTGTTTCATGTTGTTTCATTCTCTCTGAAATATATTGGTTAGATTAAGATCCTCGATGATATTATAAATAATTGTATCATATTGTATCTTATCATCCATTCACTATCATATTGTTGATTCATTTGTATCATAGTGGATCTTAAAATCTTCATTTTACTGAAACATGTTGATTAGTGCAGTGCTAATTTTGGATCACCAAGGTCTCGCTATCACCGCCGTTACTTAGCAGTTTCCTATCCAAGCTTCCACGTAGGCTGATAGGTACCTGTAAAATGATCACACCCTACATCAGGAAAAAAAACACAACTCACATGGGATTCAATAGAAATATGATATGAAACTGTTAGCAGCCAAGAACATATTATGTTACATGCATGCTATCGAAAATTGGCCATGTTTGATGACGCGAGGACTGGGACCTCCCACGCATTTGGCGTCGCCGCAGCCTGGATGGCACCGGAGCGGGCCTGGGGATGACGGGGATGACGGGGATGACCGACATACCTGGGGCTGTTGGAAAACAGTGTAGTACCTGGGATATTATAATGATACATCATGATACTATATCATTGGAACATGTTTAGATATGTTTAGTATCATTAGTCATTGGCAGGTTTTTTATGATCAACATGTCGTGTAATGATACTATAATCCATTGGTAGGAGAAAACATATTGGAATTAATTAATACATATACATATTGTACATTATTCGGCATATGTTTTATACAGTATTTGGATACATATGTTATATACATACATATGTTACAGTATATACAGTATTAAAACATATGCCAAATAATGGCATATACAGTATATAACGATGGCTGAACCACCATTCCTGTCTGTTGAACCTCCATTGGGAGGGTTTTATCATCACTTTGCAGCATCAAAATAGCTATATATTGGGTAAATCACCTTAGTTTGATGGTTGACTCCCACAAATCCCAGCAATCGATTGTTGGATGGTTGAAATCCAATTGTATCCTTTGTTCTGCTTAAACCTCCATGTTTTGATGGTGAAATTCCCCAATCTTTTTGTATCGTCCATGAGTCCCCTGTCGCGCAGGAAGTTCCAAACGGCAGCGCCGCCTGTCTCAGGTGACGCAGGCGTGCAAAAAACTCCTGGGATCTATGAATACTATCAGGTCATATTTGGTGGAATATATATATGATATATATATATATATGAATATATGGTCAGGGATGATTTTTGGGTTTTTCTGATGTTTTTTTGTTTGGAACTATGGAATCTCACGGTTGAATTTATTTCAAGTGGCGACAGGAGCCTGTCGATCCGCTGACCAAACTCTTCAGGCAGGGGGACCTGGCTGGACATGGCCGGAGATGGCTACCCTCCCAATAAAAACCCCTTGGATTTGTTATTTTTCCATATACCCTCTGGTAAACTAACCTAGCTATGGAAAATCCCCATTTTTCATGGGTAAATCCACTATAAATGGCCATTTTCAATAGCTATGTTAAATTACCAGAGGGTATTGGGAATAGTAATCCCAACTGACTTTCATATTTTTCAGAGGGGTAGGGATACCACCAACCAGTATACTATTGACTATACTCTACTCTACTAATACTAATGCTAATACTCATACTAATACTAAATACTAAATACTAACCCAAATACAAATACTGTTGCTAATGCTAATACTGAGAATAAATACTAAATACTGAATACTAAAACCAATACTACTAGTAATTCGAAATATTAATACTAATATAAATACTACTCCTAATACTAATACGAATCCTAATACTAACACTAATTCTCAAACAAATCCTAATGCTAATCCTAATACTCATACTAATACTAATAATCCTCATACTAATCCTAGTACTAATACTAATCCTAATACTAAACATCATACCAATACAAATACTAATACTAGTACGAATATTGATACTAATACTAAATGCTAAATACTAATACTATACTGTGAGTTCAGAATGTACACTGAGTTGTTGTATACTCAAAATATTCTCTTTGGTTCAACAGGGATGTTTGTAATCCAGTCATTGGCCCAATCCATCAGTTTCAGACGCCAAACCTCTAGGAGTCTTTTGTCAACGCAGATCTTTTGGCAGTCAACCAAAAATGGAATGTGTTCAAAAAAACAGAAACAGCCAAATTCTTATCCATTGTTCTCTTTAGTCATTTAATTTCGTTTGCTAAACGAAAACACCAGTTGTATCAATGTTCATTTTAGGCCTGTGGCTTAGTTACCCAATGGAATGGATGTACACATAGCCCCATTAAAAGAAACCTCCAGGGGACTGGCTTAGTAATTCTTGTAATGTGGGTAAAACAATGATAAACCATCCCCATGTTCACCATTTTTATGGGTGCCAAAAAAAAACATTCCCAGTCATGGGTGGTTTATATTGGTTTATGGCATTGTTTTAACCACATTATTCAACATGAGTTATAATAAACCCATAAACTAACCATAAACCTCCATAAACTAACCATTATCAACCATAACTGCCCTCTGGTAAACAAACATAACTATGGAAAATCACCATGCTATTCACGGGAAATTTCACTATAACTATATGGTGATTTTCCATAGTTATGTCACAGTCATTACCGGACCCATAGGATCCATGGTGCTGGTATATATGCTAACATTGGGGGTATATTGATGGGATCCATGTTACCATATATCGCATACATGGATCCTATGGGTATTAAAACCATTAAATAAATTACATATTATGGTATATATGAAAATTGGGAGAGGGTAACCACTATGACATACCCCCACTGTTATTCCTTAGTGATTCCCCCCCTCCCAGGCGCAACGTGGCACCCCCGGCACCCCCGGCACCCGACCACGACCAACAGCGGCGACCAACGCGACCTTTGCCAGCGGCGCTGTTGGCAGCTGCAGCGGCCTTTGGGCCGAAGGCCAAGGCCATCACTTTTTAATGGGATGGTAGAAATATGGGGATGGGTCAATACCTATACATACCATTTTTAGGGGAATGAACATCCATTTACCAGCTATTTTGATGTTCACCACGGGGATAGGGTTTTGACCCATATATATATATATAAATATCTAGAAATCTATTATTATTTGGTCTATTTATATGAACTAGATGATGGTAATATTCATATATCATATATGGTACTTGGTGGTTTAAGAATTGGATGGTAAAAAGTAAAGATCTGGAGAAGCACAGATTGGGATGTCTATGTTTAATATGAAGTATATCCGATTATTGGGGCAGGCAACTTTGACCCATCTTTGACCCATACCCATATACCACCCAAAAAAGTATGGTGATGACTTTGAGATAGTTCATTACAAAATTGGCTGAATACCATGGTTTAAGGACATATTTGGGTATGAAAGATGGGGAACATATGAAGATCTAACCATCAATAAATGGGGAGAATATTGGATGTTTTACCCATTATGGGTGACAAAGGTGTTTTCTTTTTGGGTTGGGAGTTCACTATGAAATATACCAGTTAAGAAGAATCAACAATGGTGGTTCGTAGTTGGTAACCATGGGCTTGTGAACCAGTAGTCATTAAAACTGGTGATTTTTCACGAAACGAAAAAGGATGTTTTTATGACATGAGGATCGAAGCAGTTCCTAACCATCAAAAAACATTTGGGATTTAAGCTACAATCAATCAGCTTGGAATGTTTGAAAACATCGCTAATATAATTAATTGCTCTAAACCAACTGGTGATCATTTTTTTGTTCCCTGGAACAAAACGCATATTTGGATATATGTGGATGCTATGCCCAAATTTAAGATGCACCCAATTTTCAGAATGGGCAGTTTTGGCAGATGGATGTATTAACTTATTGCGGATGTAGCGAATATAACTGGAGAGACTAAGTGGGTGAGTGATAGGTTTGATGCGAAATTCTCCAACAAGAAAATAGGTTTAATCGTCACAAATTAAGATTCAGCCATCAAACCATCCATGGGTCACATGGCTAGTAAAATGGTACGTGTCGCATTTTTGTGTAGAATTATAGAATAACAACCTAAAATTTGCTATTTGCCTATTATTTTATTTAGATAAACATCATCTTAAAACCATAAATTTGATATGCGCCTACCATGCTTAGAACATGCATACTTTGGTATATTTTGAGATAAAGCGACCGGTGAATGGTTTGTTGAACAACTAGCTTTTCCAGAAATTTCGAAACCGTGGAGTTGGCCGCTGTGCTTTCCCAACAATGGGGGCTACGCCAAAAATCATCCAAACTTAGACCATGTTAGTATTGAAACCCATGATTTTGGTGTACCCCCATTTTAGTAAACCTTTTAAACCTCCATATTTGACGAGATCAAAACATATCCAAGTCCAAGACAAAACGATATTTGAGCAGTGGCTGCTAAACCCTGGCTGGTTGATGATGAGTTGGGGGGATTATACTACCCTCTATCTATATATATATATATTGATTGGGGATTCTAATAATCCAATGAGGGAATCCCTTTTTACCAACCAGTATAGCGGAATTACAGAGGGATTTTGAACGCTGCTCATTTGTCTAATGTTAACTATAGACTATATTTTTAAAGTTTAACTCTGCAAAATATCTAAGATCAGCCATGTGTGGTCAATGATTCAATGGCCGATGTGCGTAGCTAGACCGGACGCAGCATGTACCATTTGTTGTTTGAGCAGACAAAACATGTTCGTCTGCTGAAAATGGGGGGATTGACTCAATCTATCCTTTGTGATCATAATCAACCGGTAGCAACATGGGGGTACCCTCTGGTTATGTCAAAATAGCTATTGAAAATGACCATTTATAGTGGATTTTCCCATTAAAAATGATGATTTTCCATAGTTATGTTAGTTTACCAGAGGGTAAAACATTTTCAGACAAAGCAGTGGGATGTTGTCCAAGCAGGTGACACCATCTGTGGATTTGGCGGATTTCGTGGTCCCTGCCACTCGATTTGGCTACTTTGAGGGGTCTCATTGGAGGTTGCATTTTTCCTGCATGGCTTCTTCCAAGACAGATGTTGGTTCCATATATCTGGGTAAATTTCATCACGACCTCACTGTTCTCCCTCACTGGAATCATGGTTTATATACGGGGAATCATCCCCAAATGGCCGAACTATTCAGGTTAGTGAAATATTATAATTTACCCATATATATATAATGTTGTTCCGGTGGTATTTGGTTGAACAGCCCAGCTGGGCTACGTTTGGCAAACGGGCTAAACATCACTCAACTTGGCTATCCAAATGCGTATAGTAAATCTATAGTCTATAGTCGTCTAAAAATGTCAATTTGTTTTGTGAACTTTATGAAATATCTACAATGATTCCGAAAACTAACTAAATTTATGTAGATCCAAAAAAATATTTAAAAAAACAACAACAACATGGTATAGATATGTATGAGGTCCATTTTCAACGCAGCTGGTCTTTAGTTTCGATCCGGTTCGTTTTGGATGCGGCATCCCCAAGTCACCAGGTAGCGGCTAGCGGCTAAACCTCCATCAATGGCTATCGGTCTATCCATGGACCATGAAAGCAGTGATGCTGTTCCATGAACCATCAATTACCCTCTGGTAATTTAACATAGCTACCGAACACGGCAACCCACAGCGGATTTTCCCATTAAACATGGTGATTTTCAATAGCTATGTAAATTACCAGAGGGTAACCATCAATTAATCATCTATCATCCATTCGTCCATATTTACCCTGTTTTTTTTCTCCTTTTTTTTTGACGGAAAAAGACACCGTGGCACCATGTGGCACCCCTGGTTGGCCTGGACTTTCTCCTTGGGTTCATAAAACGGGGGTACCCCCAGTTCTCATCCATTTAAATAGGAGTTTCCACGAAATAAACCATCCAGCTATTGGGGTGCCATTCATGGAAACTCACCAGGTGGTTTATGGCAGTTTATGGATGTTTATGGTGTATATATATACATAATATGTCTATATATGTAATATATATAATATGTAATATATATATAGTTCATGGATGTTCATGGAATATGAATGGGATGATGATGGGATACAAATGATATTATTGACATAATGGGCTATAGTGGATATTTAGTGTTTCTTTTTTAATCATGGCTTAATCATGGTTAATAATGTATATTTAATGATATATTTTATGCGATACCCTCCGGTGTCATGAAACATGGCTCGGAAAATCATCGAACTGCCATTGCCAGCCACGTTTGAGAACACCAGAAATGATTTGACCAGCAGCAAGCGACATAAACAGCTTCCGTAAAAATGCCGACGTCTTCAAGCATTCAATGTGGGGCTTTCAACAAGAAAAGTGGGGAGTGAACCCATTATCGAGGTTCAACGAACAAACTCGGTATGTGAACAACAAGAACGGGAATAGTCAGTGAACGCTCGTCAAAACACTCCAGCAAGACTTGAGATTCACCCAAGTATAGGCTGCAGTATTTCCGGGGGCCTGCAACCTGGACTTCGAGATAGTAGAGAGACATGTGGTGGAGCATCTTAGAATGTCCAGCACCCAAAAAACTACAAAGTTGCTTTGCTTGCTTCTTATTTTATAGATGGATGGATGGATGGATGGATGGATGGATGGATGAAGGGATGGGTGGATGGATGGATGGATAGATAGATAGATAGATCAAGACTCAGTTCCAGAAGATTCTTGAAGCAGTACGATTTGCAACAAGCAACGCTTCAAGCCAGGTTTTATTGCAGAGGAACGTCACTTTAGAACCACTATTTTGGGCCAACCCATTGTGACTTTTCGGTTAGGTGCAAGTGCCAGAGAAAAGCCCGCAAGTGTCGCCTATGCCGAAGCGCAAAGAGCAAGAAGCAGGGCTGATGATATGGGGAATGGATGATAAAAAGTTGCCCGCAAGATCCGTCAAAGCATAGCAACAAACAAATTGGAATAGCGAAGCCAAGTGGGGCATTTTTTTTGGGATATTTTAGGACCTAAACTGCAACCCTATTGTTTTCAATGTTACTGTCCCTTTGCTGATTGTTGGTAGTACCACTACTCTTCTGTTGGTTGATATGTTTGTATAGGTCACATTTGCCGCAAGTCACTTGTTTGAAGGGATCATATGATTAGATATGATTAGTATTAGCATCAACCATCCGATATTTCAATAAAGCCATGAGTTCAAAATCTATGTAAGCAACATATCCCAGCAAGATGAGTAAATGTATCATATGCAGATATGACACATGAAATTGAAGGTGTAATGTATGACTAACGAATTTAATTTGATATCATACCTTATACATTGTATATGATGTATTCCCTACTACATCATTCAACTACATACATACACATGATGACACTATGATGTATTATATATATATACATATTATATCTGGTTGGTGGTTTGGAACATAAATTTTGTTTTTCCATATATATATATATATTGGGAATTTCATAATCCCAACTGACGAACTCATATTTTTCAGAGGGTAGGTATACCACCAACCAGAGGGGTACGCTAGACAGGAGCGTCTCTCTCTCACCTCCTGGGCTGTTGAAGGCTTCACAGGCGCCCAGCGGAGTCAGAGGGAAAGATGGGGATTTCACTCAGAAAAACAGGTAATGTGGTGGGTATATCGTGGGTATATCATGGGAATATCACGGGAATATAGTGAAATAATCCTATGTTTATGATACCCTCCTGTAAATATACATCAACATCATCAACAATGTGGAAAACCCGCTATTTGTAGATCATAGTCATATTCCCAGGGAAACCATTTTGTGTTTTTTTCACATCTATGGCAATGATTTTTCCGGGGGAACTTAATGTGGAAATACATGGAAATTTAACCGGATTGTCGGGGTTGATTATCTGATAGATGGGTTAACAATGTGAATTATATGATGGGTTCTAGCCATATAAAACATTGATAACCATATAATATCACAATTGTGATATGTAATATGGGTTGATATTTGATACTGTAATAGAATCAATTCATAGGATTTGAGCATCAATCTACTGGGATATGATGGAAATTATCATGCAATATATAGGAATTAACCATAAAATTCAACCATTGATGCTAAGATCCTGTGGGAAGCATTTCCAAGCGATTCATATTCAGTATGATTCTGCTTAGGGACAAGATTTTTCTCGGATTTGTTGAAACATGGAGATCTTACCAACCACACGTTTTTCGAAACCTGGACCGCCTGCTTGAATACTGCAGTTCAACCAACCAAGAATTACAGTATGTTTTGATGATTTGTTTGATGATCTACAAGGTTTGGCATACGACCTTCAACATCGGGGTTGAAAAACATGTGGTGATCAAATCGTTGCACCCCTGTAGTTCACATCCAAATAACACGTTCAATAGGATATAAATATGTGTATATATATATCCTATATCTTGGATTCACCCCATATATATCCATATATTGAATATATTGCTCATGGATGTTCATCCCCAAAGTGGCATTTGTATTGATCCATAGCCGCGACGATCACGGCAGGGGGTGGACCTGAGCTCCGCAGACTGAGTGGAGAAGGACTGGAGAGTATGCGGAAACCAGGGATCCAAGGCTCCGAAAATGGGGACCATGAAACATGTGGATGTTATGCTGGATTTCCCATGGATGTCCCAGCTATTTAGATGGTTTATAAAAGTCTATAATAGGGATATATGATGATATATGTTCTTATTCAAGGGTGCGATGGGATTTAGTAGCAAGATAATGGGATATGTAACCAATCATGCACCGTTGGATTTTGGGGTAGCCAGACAAAGCCAATGTCTGGAGATGTTCATCAACGATAAAAGATATGATTTGCCCAGCACCATTGACCTTTTACATTTTGTGATCAGATGTTCATTTTCAATTGGTAAGAAATCAGTTTGTCATACTTTCCTAAGCGGGTGGATGGTAGGGTTATAGCCAATTTCATGGTGGTTTTCCTCACTGCCCGGTATCTGACTGCACCCCTACCCGTATGGTTGCCATATGGCTTTGCCGAAAACCAATGTACATTGTTCCCCCTAAATTGCTTCATCATGTTCCTGTTAAAAGTGACTATGTTAACATATTAATTAACCAATATTAATCATGTCCGACCCATCCCCACATGTGTTTTTGTTCCTGAGGGCGTCTGAGTCTTGAAATGGTGTCCAAGTTGCGGCTGAAGAAGCGAAATGCCATAGGCGAGTCGTTCTTGGCTAATCCTGGGATGGTGCCCCGCAGTGCTGTTGGTGTTTTTGACCTCCATGAAAATATCCTCAAAAAGCACAGAATCTGGGTATATAATATATATATATACATGGTTTATGGTACTGTAGATATAACTATAGTCAATGGGGTAATTATCTAGCTGATATAATTCCATGAATTCTTCGTTATATCTACTCTAAAGCATAGAATTCAGCCATCAACTGGGGGTCAAAAATTTTCAGAGCCGGCCACGGATGGCTGCCAAGTCTATTCTTAGAACATCTAACAGTGGGGGTAGCTAATTTTGACCCATATCCAAATAAACAGAACACAATAGGGATTTCACAAAAAAAAAAATCATGGATAGCAATGGAATATCAACTCTGTATTGTTTTTTTTTCGTATGGGAAGATCTAGGACTTTATTGTTTCAAAAGCAGCTAGAGTACGCAGATGCATTATGTTATACTGTATTAAGATTTATCACAAATATGTATATATATATATATGGGGGGTACCATATATATATATTATAGAGAATAGAGAGAGTACATATTTCCATACTTCTCATCACCCCAGTTGCAGCTGACAGACCTATCCGTCGCCTGGTACGGAAATTGGCCCATGTGGCGGTACATGTTTCGAACAAAGGTCATACCGAGCCATGCCGTGCCGTTGGATGTGATCAGAGCTTAGACTTGGAACCATTCGCTTCCGGGCAAGTTCGCTGGTACACTGGTACATGGATGTTCATCCCTGCATTTACATGAATTTACAGGATTTAACAGGTATGAATCCATAGCTATATATCAAATTACTTCGAGATATATATTGACCCGCCAACAGGCTGAGATGTTTGTAGTTTTTGGTGAAATCAACTGGGTAAGTGTCCGGTTTGGTCAACCCATTTTGGGGTCCCTTGGCAGATCCCTTGGCAGATCTGCACACGCGAAAGCAATCGGTGGATCACACTGAAGTGGAACCAGAGCATTCGCACTTTGTCCCTTTGTGCATCTTAGAGAGGTCCGGGCTCCGGTTGCTGAGGGAAGCTTGGGGGAAGCTTTGGGTTGATGCTGCATCAACATTGGATTTCAGTGTCAGGTATACAACGTTGATGGAAAATAATGTCAGGTATCCAACTAATGTTGTTTTTTCATCACTGATTAAAACTACATATGTGGTTGCGATCGGGATACCCTCCATCACTGACCAAAAATTTATCCTCAAAGCACGAAGGATTTACCCACAGCGGGATGTATGAAAACTGGGCACCGCAAAATCCAACTGGGTTTGTCATTTTTTTGCTATCAACATGGCAACTGTAGTAACACCTAAAATTTTGGACAACCCCAACTCATACTGTTGAATATATTAGTTACATCTATCAAATTTACCCCATTAGATTATTGATTATCCCATTTTATCCCGGAAAATGGGTTCGTCAATCAAACCCCATGTTGTTGGTTGATTGATTTTCTCTGAGAAACAAACACACATTGACATCATTCGTGGTTAAGTATAATATGCGTTGTATATATATATATATTTATTTATAGAAATAAATGAACATATATATAATTAAACATGTAGAAATAAATGAATAAATAAATAATAAATATATTAATACATATATATATACACATCATATTCATATATATATATATATATGCACAACCGAAATGATTGCGGTTTGCCTTGGAAATTCCATGGTTTGTCCCATGTTTTTTTTAACCCAACATGCCATGGCAGGAAAGCGCCTGTGGAGATGCTGACCCCTCAGGCGAGGGGCCAGCATGGCACTGGGAAGATTTGAGGGGGTTCCGTAGGGTAGACCCCACAACTTTCCTTTTAAATGTGAAAATGGATCATAAACTTTTTTTTCCGAGGTACCTTATTGTCAAACACCTTTGTTTTCGGAATTGTAGGGGTTTTCAAGGAGAATGGCATATATATATGCTTATATACCCTTTTCGGGGTTCCCAAAATATCGGGTTCTTGGATGGACAGTGTGTTCAAACAGCGACGATTATCCCTTTCCTGGTTTTGATCTATCCAAAGGCATATCATGTGCCTGCATCCTGGAAAAAGATGGAAAAAACACAAGGACGTGATTTGAGAGATGTTTGCTTTTTGAGCGGTTTTCTCCAAATGACCGTAGTTGCCTTTTGGTGAAAATTCCATATTTGGCTGGTCAAAATCTCATTTTGTTATTGAAACCATAACCGTTGTTGATATCTTGACTTGTAGTTGTCCTTACCCATGACGGATCCATGGTGCTGGTATATATGCTAACATTTGGGGTATATTGATGGTAAATGTCATCATATAAGCACATTTTCTTCCGGATGACATGGAGATCCAGGCGCCCATTTTTCGCCAACCTGGAGCCAACCTGGAGTCACCTCAGGTGGCCCCGCGTCGATCACGCAAGTCTTCCGTCAAAGCTAGGCACCCGTGTGGTGGTGAATGGAGCGAGCTGAGCTATGGTTGCATTACCCTCTGGAAAATTTAACATACTGTAGCTATTGAAAATGACCATTGATAGTGGATTTACCTACTATAGATGGTGATTCTCAATAGCTATGTTAAATTACCAGAGGGTAACTTTCATCCATATTCCCGTGATGAATGGGGAGACTTGGGGGAGCCTTCCCAAAGAAAGAGTTTCCCAAGCACATTCTAGATTAAGCATTTTTTTTGGTGGTTACATAGTGAACAACAGAAAGTGATGTTTGGTTTAGCACATGTGAGTAACAACATGCATGTATTTAACCTACTACTTCCATGATGGGATGTTTGAGGTCTAAGAAATTTCAGCTGAACAGGAACCAACAAATTACAATCCTTTTGCTAGGATCACCATGATTCTTGGTTGTTATCCCCATAGTTTCCAGGCTTTTCATCGGTGACAGCACCATGATTTACAGAGTTTTGTGCAGGTGAAATCCCCATCGGATTGGTCGTTGCAAACATATTACATCGGCTTCATAACGGCTTCATATTCTTCATAACATGCATTCATATTACATCTATACATTATGATAAACATCCCCATGATATGATGTATAGTTGCAATATATATATATATATACATACATACATAACTGGTTGGTGGTTTGGAACATTTTTTATTTTTCCATCTATTGGGAATAGTAACCCCAACTGGCGAACTCCATCATTTTTCAGAGGGGTAGGCTCAACACCAACCAGATTATTAGTAACAATCATTAACCATATAATAACCATTAATATTAACCATATATTAACAGTATATTACCAACCAATGGTAGGTTGAAACCACCAACAAGTATAAGTATTGTTGAACATGTCATGTATGTTTCACTATGTTTATGTCCCGTGAAGACCTGGAATTTCTCGCAGGCCGTCAGCCGCTTTGGGCGGTGCTCATCGAGGTGCCAGAAGCGTTACGTCGTTTCATGGGTAGAACTCCATGAAATCAGCCCTATATATATATATGGTATATATAAAGGTGTATATATATATTGATTATATATATATGTGTGTGGATAACGAACATATTGGATGATATATGCCTAATATATATATATATATATAAATATGTGTGTCTATAGAACCCTTTGGTAAATGAAGGGTAATCCCGATGTTTGTTGAGATGCAAGCCCAACAAAAAAAACTCTAATGAAATGTATCTACTTAGTTAGTTCACTTCCAAACATGAATTCATCATTTAATCATAGGGACAATGAATGAAAATGGTGGGAAACGACTCGATTGTTCGGTAACCAATGTTGAAACATACCCATTTCAGTGGTTTTCAACTAATAATCAGCTTAATCTCTCCATTTGCCTTTAAAAAAACGGGTCTATGACCCAGTGCTTTGGAGATGTTTGGAGGCATTCCAAAATGGTGTTACCCGCCAATGTCACAAATGGGATGACGTCATTACTTTGCGTTTGGTGAAGGTGTGTTCTGGCCACCATTGTGAGGAGAGTAAATCATCTATTTTCATGGGCCATGTTCATTTTCCGTAGCAAGCTGTGAGTTTACCAGAGGGTATAGCATCATAAATCATCATTAAATCCCCTGAAATCTCATTAAATTACTATCCCCTTAAATCCTATTTTAAAAAAATCCAATCCCATGAATTTTATCCTCATGTTTTATCCCATGACCATTTTACATCACCTAAACCATCCATTTTTATCATCCCTTTTTCAATCCCCACTTAATTTACCTATGATTATCCCTATATGGATTAAGAGTGGATACCATAGGTAAATCATAGGTAAACCTTAGGAAACCTTAGGAAACCATAGGAAAACCATAGGAAAACCATTAATAAACTGTTTTTTACAACCAAGGACTTTGGCTCCAAAGCTTCCGACGATACTTGCACCTTGGATCGGCCGGATCTTAGCCGCATCATCCGACGAACTGGGCCGGAGTTGTTGGGGGATACGGGTGATTTTCCATAGTTATGTAAACGTTTACCAGAGGGATATATATGGATATATCCATATATATATATATGATATATATATATATGATATATATATATATATATTTAGGAGAGACTTTTCTGTAGTATTTGACGTCCTTGCTAATCTCCGTTATTTTAAAATACAAGGAACATAGAAACTTATTTCTTTATTTTCCAGACGCCTCCAAAGAGAAAATATTGATTTATGTTCTCTATTTTCTTTATTTTCTTTTTCAGGCTTCCGGAAAATAAAGGAAATAACGTAATGTGATGTAATGTTTTGTATGTATGTATAGACTATTAATGAACATCTGTCGGATTCGTATCCTGGTTTCATGTACATCATTAGGCGATATAGAAGAATCTTCAGTTTCTCGACGATTCTTAGGTACGATGGCGAAATCCATGCTGATGATCTGACGAAGGCGCTTCTGCACAGTGGCATTGAGGACCGGATCTCGATCCCCATGGGGTAGTTAAGTTACCAAAATCGTCCTCCAAATATTGTCACTATACATAACAATCAGGCACTCGTCTCGGAAGGACGTCCGGCCGGAGCTCATTGCCTTGGTCCTTTGCAAAGTGGCGGCCGCTTTCGTCGAAGGTTTCATGGGATGATAAACGGCCAGAATATTATTGGGAATATATTAGTTGGGGATGTAAAACCCTACCCAGTGAGTAAAACATATCCCAATATACATCCCATTTTTTCTCAGTGATTTTTGTTCTTTAAACATATGTGGCCTACCAGAATATTATTGGGAATATATTAGTTGGGAAGATATGGTCTATCATTCCATTCATAATATTAGTTGAGGGAATTCCCAGATAGCCATTATAACCAGTGGATATGTATGATGATTAACCAACGAATGAGATGATTGGAGATGATTCCTCGCTACTTGGGAATATACAATCTACCAGAATGATGAAAGATTCATGTTTCATGAGGATGTAAATGATGATAGTTGCTAAATATCCCGTACTGGTGAATTAGAACATCGCATGAACATGAATCTGTTGGAAATGATATCCCCTATAATTTCTTGGGTGATGTGTCATTTACCACCCCCTGTAATAGCCTGCAAAAAAACAAATAGAATATGAATATATGGGATTAACAAATCGCATTAACAAATCGCATTATATATATATTTACAGTTGTGCGTTTTTTGCTGCTGTCATGTTGCTCGAAGTGTTTATGAGCGACATTGCGCCTGCGAAAACAAAAAAAATACAGTAAAGATATGGGATTTACCATGGGGGTATCTTTAGACATGGTAGGTTGCACTAGGGGATCAAATTACAAAATGGAGATTTCACCTGTATGAATTCCGTGAGCATGAGAATGAGCTTGTAATGTCAAAAATGATGTTGGCAGTTCCTGTTCAATTTTTCAGGGGACAAAGGCGTTTCCTTTTGAGCCCAAGATGAGAAATCTACGGTTGAAACCCTGACTTTTCTATTCGACAGAGGGGATTCCTGCATATTTTCCCTGAAACCAATCCGAGAGGTACCAGCAAGTATTGATTCACACATTATGAACAATTCATAACAACTCTTTAAACCAGATTCTACAGTGTGGACAAACTCGCCAGTTCTGGGACCTGGTTCCCTGGTTTCCCTTCGATTACCATCTGCATGGTTCTATTGCTGAGGAATACAATACTTTGGATGAAGATGAATTCCTCCACTTCATGTGCCAGCAACCTGTCCACGACCAAAGCCTCATTCGAACCGGTGGTCCAAGTGTTAGAACCCGGCAGATAGCCGTGTTCTCTGGGAATCATATGGAATCCAAACCACCGGTTAGGGGTAAGTCTCCCAAAATGGCCCCTCACTATTCCGGTTCCCGAATTACTATAGTCTATCCAGGAACCACCTTTTTGATATTTGTTGATCCTTTTTAGGTCTTTCATCTTAGACGTGAACGGGAGTTGTGCTGATTTCCAAGATGAACACAATGAGCCAGAGCAATCCAGAGCGGATGGGTTAATTTTTTCTGGCCCTATGGGATGTGCGTCAAAGAATGCCATGTTTACCACCCATTTTCCTGGGAATGGTAACCATACCACCTACAAAAATTTTGATGACTGGGGGATGGTTTATGAAATTGTTTTGCCCACATCAATAATGGTCATTATATGGTATATTTATATGGTTTTTAACCACATTATTGTGGCAATAAACTTAACCACATTATTATTGTTTTGTATCTTTTAGTAGCCAATGACGTCGCCAATTTTGACCCATCACCATCAGCTAGAAACCACAACGGAACTCAGCAGATGGGCGGAGCCCACGTTTTTATTTAACGGCGTCACGAAAGACGTGGGCCATAGAGAGCTTATTTCGTTGATGAACGCCCAAAGATTTCGAGGTGTTCTTATGGAAAAAAAATGGTTTTATGCTTTATAATGTTTAATTAAGTGTTTATGATGTGCATTTCTTTGCTCCCCTGGTTTTTTGATGACCTGCAAGTTACCCGATGATCCTCCAGTGGTTGTTCCACCATCACCGGCTACACTCTACCAAGATGTCAAGGTATGAAGAAGAACAGCGAGAAGATGTGCGCTGGATTCCATTTATTCCATCGCTGTTGAACCAGCGAATGGTGGGGTTGAAGCAACAATTGGTTTGACAACACACTGGATACCGGGATACCTTAAAAACCAACATATTATCTTGAAAACACAAGGACACGTTCATTGGAGGCCCACATTTTCAAAAAAATGTCGGACAAAAAGTTCCTGTGGCAATGAACATTATGCCATTGTTTATCACGGGCTTTGTTTGAATATCATTCGACGGGAAATTGACCAAATCCAGGTCGGTTTGTGAAAGGTTTGCCATTTGACCATCCAGTGGTGAATGGAGGGAGCTATGGTTGCAGCAAGTTGCATGCATATTCCCTATGAACAATGGGGAGTCTTGGGGCGCTAGAATCAGAGTGTCGCATCCACATGAGCGACGGCTTTTATTTGGTTAAATGAAGGTATATAATTTATATAATGGATTATAATGGTATATAATATTGTGGCGTACCCCGCTTTGTCGAAAGCATCACAGTTAGGCTGTAAAACGACGTAGGAACACCCCGAGAACGAGGTAGGCATCGCATGTAAAGCATTTAGCTATTAAAAACAATTGCTGCATTGGAGAACGAGGTAGGAACACCCCGTCCATTGCGTTTGTACCAAATTTCTTCTGCAGCTCACATGACAGTTGTCATCTTTATAGGTTAATCCTTGGTCCACTAGTTACTCAATGTTAATCATATAACTTTCCTATAGATTGACCACAATCAATCTGTCCATTTCTGGAATTCTTCCAGAGCACCCCTTTTCCGAAAAGGCACTGACACACTTCCAGAACTTTGCCGTGAACGGTATCTCGGCACACGGCGTTGAATCCGCATGGTTTAAACGGAAGCTTCCTCCAACTGGCCGGTTGGGCCTGCGGCTTCGGGGCTTCGGTTAGATGGTGTTGAAAAACCCAGACTGTCTTGGGATGTCTATTTGGATGTTTGGTTAAGATGACCAAGAGATTTTTGGGATGGCTTAAAAGGACCAAAAAGGGTCCTGTCTGCTGATTCAACATCCATGTTACCGGCCTGGTACTTGTAGCAAATGATCTCCAGACAAATCATGACCGATGGGATTGTTTGGAAATAGGCACCACAAAATTGCAATAGTTGAGAAATTCATGTTCCCTATTAAACTTGAAATTTATGGATATCCAATGCCCAATTTCAGACGCAAAGAACTTCAAACATGGGAATGGGAAGTTGTTTTTATTAGATGTTTTCCCACATAAAACCAATAGAACTCCCGTTGAATGCTTCCCAGCGGCCCGTCCCGGCCCCCAAACCACCATTTTTGGCTAAGCCATCAGTTGAATCATCACGATTGCTGGTTAAGTTAACTTTTGATGGCAGCTGGGTAAATTTGATCACGGCCTCTCTGTTCTCCTTCACTGGAACGAAGGATAGTAAGGGGAAACTATCCCAAAATAGCGGAACTTTTCAGGTTAGTGACGTATTGTCATTTATGCAGATCGTATCCTGTGATATGTTCCAACAATTATCACTCTTTATAGTGCAATTATTCACATTCTAGGTTATATATTCCACATTCACATCTACAATGGTTTTCCAGCCAATCCCATCTTCTGCCTTTTTTCCCTAGTCATTGCCAGTGAAATATCAAATTATTGTAACCTAATCATTCAGGAACATCGATAGGATCCAACATGTATTAAATCCTTTTTTCGTTGGTTAAGCCCATGATATTCCCATGAATGTTTTTTTTGTTCGGCTTACAAATTCACAGTGTTTGTATGTGTTTGTTATACATCTCAGCCTCTCCCCCACCCGCAGATCCGAGGTCAGGTTACTATGGAATCGATGTCTGGGTTGCTGGCTGCTCTGGAGCCGATAGAAGTTGGATCTGCGATGGGAACCGTGCTGTTGCCATGGCTGCATGTTCTGCATGCTAAATTTACTGCTAAATTCCGGTAAATGTTTGGTAATTCAACAATTATTTTTTCACAGTTTATGAACTATTGCTGGTAATAACATCACGGATTCAACAAGATATTTCACAACATATTTACCAACATATTTCACCAGATCTCTCACAACATATTTAACAATATTTATCAGTGTAAAATCAACCACGGAGGAATCATCGAAGTCCATTGCTGGGCCATGGCTTCGCAAACTCTTGACGCCATTGGACGCCCCTGTGGGATGAACATAGCCAGCCTGTGATGTTTCTGTTTTGTTGCGCGCCCAAAGAACAATAGCTAAGAACAAAGCTGGCTGTATTTATTAATCTATAGTCAATATTTAATTTTGAGCAGCTGAAATACTCTTAAATATGAAACTTGGGGGTTGGGCAACTTGTGATCGTTATTGAATACATTTGAATACTATTGCTTTATCAATGTGCGATTTGGACAAAGATTTGGGCCTGGCACATCCACGACTATGTTCGACCACATCCCCTCGAAAAATCGTCATGTACGTTGTGTCCGTTATAAAAATCCCATGTATCCATTGATAATAATTCATATGTCCACCAGTATTCTATAGTATTCTATTACAAAGCTGAATGTGCTGTAAAATAAACATTGGAAAACATTGGTATGTCCACTCACAGTAGCAGGATATCCCACTATTCCATTATTCAGGAATGGTGGTTAGTAGGAGGTAACTAATCTCAAGATGGGATGATATCAGGTTGTTTTCTTTCTTCGTATCCAGATCCATCTCATTTGCATTCCATCATATTGCTATAAAATGTTGCTGATATGTATGTATACATATTAATTATATTATATATATCCCAATTATATATCCTCATTGTATGCCCTTACATTGGTTATATTCATCCAGGTTGTTCCATTGGTCATCCACAGAAAACATTCCACGCTTAATATCTCCAGAAAATGTCATCATTACATTGGTACGTCCATCATGATTCCATCATAAAGTAATGTACTGGTCGCATTGGGATCTGGATAAATTTGACGACCTCAAGTCACAGCCTTACTGTATGGTTAATAAATGATAAGAGACAAAATCATCCCACTTAAATAGCTTGAATTCAGGTTAGTGAATCATTAAAATTTCTCCAACGTGGCAATTGACAATCCCCCCATGTAGTTCGAATATTTTCCCAGAAACCTTCATTTTTTTGGGGTATGTTTCCCATATTTTCCTATGATGGTCCTCTGATGTTCCCATATGTTATAGATGTTTCATAGAGTTGGATGGACAATTTTCACCGGAAACCCCCATCAATTTGATGGTAAAAACCCATGGGTTTCCGGTGAAGATTTTCCCAACAAAACCAATCCATTGAATTTTCCCAGCCAGAAACCTCAAGGGTCGTCTCGCAGGAGTTGAATCCACGAGGTCGAGTGCTCAGGCAGATCTGCCAGGAGGCGCGGAGCACTCCTGGGCCTATTTTGAGACATCCCCATAAGATCCCATAAGATACCATTGGGACATTATATCTATCATAAGATCCCATAAATAAACATTGTTTTTGGTAAAATACGATTGTTTATTTCATGGAAACGATGATTAAAGATGATGAAAAGCCGATGATCAATGTAATGATCAATCATGTTGGAGTCACGACTGGATGATGCAGCGCCATGACGACTGGGAAAGCTTCGATTAAAGCAGAAGTGATGGTTTAAGCAGCTAGATCAGCATATGGGATGACTCTCAATGGATAAACCCATCTCTTTCAAGAGGCAATAGCGAGCTAAGTAAAGAGTCCCTCGGTTTTGTTGGATTTCTCAAGTGTTGTTCGGAGACATCTTCTATGCTTGGTTGTATCGTTTTTTTTTCATTGCCTAAGATTGAATGTTGCTGTATCTCAAATTGGGGGATATCGGGATATCATGGGATATCCATTCGTGGGACCGTTGGGTGAAATGGTTGGTGAACTCAGTCTCCAAGGTTATAGACGGAAGAGATGGATAATGTGGGTCATTATGGGGAGATTTATGTGATGTAATAGGGATATTTAATGATAACAACGATGAGATATCGTTTCGAAAGTGGTTTACCGGTTTTATATGGTTTAACATGGATGGGATGATGATAGGATATCAGTAGATGTACCATCCGGTGTCATCAAACATGGTTGGCTCGAAAGTCTAACGGGAGGCCTTGTTGTGGGAACACCATCTATATTGCCATCTTAGGGAACATCATTTTCATGGGAACACCATCTAATGGGAACACCATATGGGTTTGTCTGAAAATAGGGTATATTCCCAATGAAATAGCCATTTAATAGGGATAATCATCATTAACCATTGGGTTTAGGGGTACACTATTTTCAGACACACCCATATGTTGTGGATTCTCCATTGCCATCTTTGATTGCCGGAGGGTATCCGTTTGCTTTTTGAACGTGGATTTCTACATCCAACAAGCCAAATCTGGATCAGACAACCATTGAAGGTTACCTTGTGGTTATGTTTTAACAGTTTGCGAACTTGAACATGGCCCAGTCGAAATAGTGGATTTACCCAGCTGTAACATGCTGTTGACCTGGTAAATCTAAAGAAACCTGATCGGTGGGGAAAACCAGGTCAGTGGAGAGCGCCTTTTTGAAGCCTCGACAGGTGCGGTGATGGGACATGTTTCTATTCCCATCCTTTTTTTGTTGGTTTAAGATGGTAAAAAAACTAGCCATAATTTAAGGATCATTTGAAAATGGCTTTATGTTTATCGGATGTTGTTTTGTCCACCTTGGGGATGAATATCATCGAGAATCTGGGCCTGATATCCCAGCGTCTCCAGGGATATCATCGATGGAACTTGTTCAATTTTGGTGATTTGGGCAAAATAATCATACCTAATGGTAATTATACCAATGGCAATTTCAGCTAATGGTTATTTTGTTAATGGTATACTTATTTTGGTATACTTATTTTCAGTTAATGGTTATTTTATGAGAATTATACCTATAGTGGCAATTTCAGCTAATGGTTATTATGGCAAATAATCATACCGTATTCACCAGCCCCTCATTTATTATATTTATTGTTTTGAACTATTTTCAGCTAAGATATGTTCAGTAAAAAAATCTGATGCCTTTTGCAGTATTTATCTAATCATGGGGAAGTAGAATGACACGAAGGGTTTTCAAATCTCATGGGTTGAGATCACCACATGTGTTGTTTATGTTCCCTTGTTTGTTGCTTAAGTTCCAACTTGTTTGGATTGATTTCGAATTGTTTGGTCAACACTCATTTGTTGTTGATTTAAACCACACTGTGTTGATTCAATCAACATGTTTGTTACTGTCAACCTCGTGTTTCTTGCTTCATTCAACATTTGTTGTTGGTGAAATTCGCAAGTTGCCATGTCCGTGGATGAAAGCGACTTATTTGATGAACTTTCATGGTTCAATCCCATGATGTTCCTCATCACATCTACTTGTTTCATTGATTAGGTCATCACTTTTGTGGTTGAACTTCCCATATTTCAGTTGCTTGATTTCCAACTTTTGTTGATTTAACCCGATTAGTTGGGTACGCCTTTCAGGTTCAATGGTAAAAATCACCGTACAACAGAAATCCATTATATCCCCGACTGTACCTGCATCAATTGGTGGGTTGTATCATCATATCATCATTATAAATTCAGCCAGACATGTTTGTTGGTTACCCCTCCAGTTTTTTTGACACCACGACGAGGTTTAGACTTTCCACAGTTTCTGAAGGTCGTAGAAATGCTGAGACAACGTGCCTTGACGCTGTGCGACACTGACCTCACCTGAAACGGTGTAAAATGTGGTAACTTAGTGGGGATGACCTGAAAATAATGAGTTATTTGTGTACCTATTTTCCCATTTATGGAATGTATAACAATTATAACATCAATAAACCATTTATAATTGCTTTCTATGGCCATAGCAAAAAAAATCAGCTTGGCTGCAGTGTGACTGCGTAAAAATCTGATGGTTAACCGGTTAACCATCGTATCATCCCACTAGGAACGCAAGCCATCAAGCCATCTGCCGCGAACGGTTCGCTGAGCCAAGGTTTCTGTTTCTTGCAGGAAGAACTGGAGCATTTCAGAAGCGTTTTTCAGGCTGGGATCATGACAAGGTAGGTTGTTTTGTCATTGGATAGTATACAAAAAAGCTACATATTTTTGGGTAAATGCAGCTGGTCCATGGATATGCCAGGTTTCTTTGGGGCAGTTAAAGGCAACTTTTTGGTGATGAAATAGAGGTTTGGCATGTTGGGCCCAGAAAAGCACTACACTTCAGGCAGATGACCCTGGACAGCAATCCCAAAGCAAGTTGGTTGAGTTTCGCCGAGAGCTAGCCTTTATTTTTTGCACCAACTTGCATGTGCCTTATTGGATTCCTGGCCCATGTTTGAGGTGTTAAACTTGGGGTGCCACGTGCATAGTATTTTGTAGTTACAGGATGTTACAGGCCTTAAACACTCTCAAATTTGAGGGATGCAAAAAGCCCCGCAAAAAGCGACAGGTCTTTGATCGAGACCATTCGGGTGGGATGAGTTTAGCAGAGCTCAGTAGCGCTTTGGCGTCTTGGCTCGGAGGTTTATTTTGTGATCCATGTGGGCATTGTATGGGACTGTATCCAATAAGAAAGTGCTTGGTGGTATCATGAATGGATTATTTTCCGTATATGGGAATGGAATCATCCCAACTGACTTTCACTCCATCATTTTTCAGATGGGTAGCGAAAAACCACCAACCAGGAAACCTTCCGTAACCAGTCAAGATTTGAGAGATACAACCCTCAAGTTCGGAGGAGAGACAGACAAATGCACCGCTTGGGGATGACTCGTTCTGCTCGGCGCGCTCGGCACGTCTATACATTGTGCGCAAGGACATGGAAACGTGAACTCTTGATTCTGTACCCTGTACCCGATGGTGTTGATAACTCTGGATCTGTTGAAACTTGCGAATACCATTGATTCCATTCCCTGGAACTTATAATGTCATCTGTCATCCAGATCATACACCATCCTTAATTAGACAAAAAAGAAAGTACTATATCATAAGTAATGTCAACCCGGGATTAATAAACTATTGTTTATTGATTAGGGGATACTCCTGCAATAGTCATCATTTGGTGCTTAAATGGTACCCTCCCAATTAAACAGCCTAGGGGTTTATTAATCCAGGGTTGACATTACAAATTATTCCCATTTCAAACTACACCTTTGTTTTTTTGCCCAAGATAAATTGCCATTTTTTCCAAAAGAAATATAATCCCCCACGCTCTTGTACAGTGATTTGAGACAGACCCTTGGATGCTGTTTTTTTTTGTAGATTGTTTATTCCTATATATATATATATACGTATGACATATAAACATCCATGTACACATATATATATATATATACACCATTTACAAAATCACATAGGGACATATGATATACCCTCTGCTAATTTGACGTAGCTACGGAAAATCGCTGGGTAAATCATCTATAGATAGGCCCTTTTCAATAGCCATCCTAAATTACCAGAGGCTATACGGCAGTACCATCTTAATCCATCATATACCCCCAAGAAATCCCATTATAAAGTAAATCCGTAAATCCCATTATTGTAAACACCATTAAATCATATCAAACCACATTAAATCTCATTAGCATCCCCTCAACATCCCATAAAAGTCCTATAGACAATCCCATGGTGCCCTATGAAAATCCCACATTAACATCCCATTACTGGTTGGTGGTTTGGAACATGAACTTTATGTTTCCATTCAGTTGGAAATGTCATAATCCCAATTGACGAACTCCATTATTTTTCAGAGGGGTAGGTATACCACCAACCAGTATCATATGGCCATTATTGAATGATGTTAAATTAGGTTTGTTCAACCACCAGATAACAATCAGGCACTCAAAATCACCATTCAATCACCATTAATAAACCCACCATTCAATCACCATGAAATCACCATTCAATCACCATTTTCCTATGGTTTTCCTATGGTTTTCCCACCATTCAATCGGTTGAAATCTCAAACTCTTCCCGCAGCGACCCAGGCCTGGCTCGGATTTCCCATCTCTGCGTCTTGGTTTTGGGTTTTTGGTTTTCGCGGACCACGGAGGCCGGAAATGAAAAACAACGGGGGCGGTTTTTTGAAACATGGGAAAATGATGATAATGTTGAATACTAATCGGTATACAAAGTATACAACATTACACCATTTTGTTTCTTGTTTGTTTTTGACATTCCTACGTTTTTGTCCAGTTGCTGTCTGTGATATTGATATTCTCATATGTTTTGGGTAAACTAGAAGCAACCTAACTAGCTGACTTCACCATACATGCTAGTTGGTTAAGGGGACGTCACCAAAATGGTCTGTTGCAGGCTGGTTTACGTAATCATGTTTGTTGGTCACACAACAACTTGATCATATCCAATAGTTCAACGCTAGCTGATGCTAGCTGTACTTCAACTCCACCTTCTGATGATTGAATCCACCAAAAGGCTCGTAGTAACCATGAAGTCAAGCCATCAGAAGCTACACCATGATATATCCCAATAAATGATAATAAATGCAATTAAATCCCATTCAAATCACATTGAATCCAATTAATTCATATATATATATAATATATATAATATATCATATATCATATAATATATATATAATCATATATATATATTCCATTAAATCCCATTCAACATGAAATCCCATTAAACCCCAGCATTTTTGTGTTGTGCTCCCCAAGGGAAGCCTGTGCTCTTTGCACCAGCGACCTGTCGGAGGGAGCGACTTGTGGTCTTGGGGTACCCAATTTTGACTCATACCATCTCATACCCATATGATGAGGGATATAATAGGGAATATATATATAATCCACTAAAAGTGTATATTATATATATCCAATAGTAATCCAATGATTATATATATATATATATCCTATATAATTAATATATATACAGTATATATAGTTAACTGGATATTGTAAAATTCACCCAGTATTGGGATGTTAATCGGGAGATTGATTGGATATTATCACCATAAATCAAGGCCGCCCCAACCTATTTTACATAGGCGAATCATAGCCCAAATGGAGGGGAACCTGATGATTCTATATCATTCTGCCTTTATTTTCCAAGTTCCGCCCCAACTTGGACCTAGGATAGTTTAATGAGTTGGGATTTTCCATATTTTTCCATCCCCTAAAAGCTGCGCGCTCATGTGAGGCAGCATGATCTGGACAGCAAGGGCGTTTTGAGTCTGGGCGAGCCGTGTTGGTCTTGGGGATTTCCGTTCGCGGCAAGACGGGAAACCCCCTGGGATTTTTTGTTTTCGGGACCCCAATTGATTGGGACCTTCCCACAACGGCAATCAGGAACTGCTACCAGTGACGGGCTGAGTTGTACCATTGACTGGGGCCCCTTGTGACATCCTGCCTACGAACACAGCTTTTGCTTCAGATTCTTGAGGACACCGCTAATCAACTGATGATGGGTTATAATTCCTGACCAAGGGTATCACCCATCGCTGTTGACCAAACCATGCAAAAAAATTGCATTCTAAGAGGTAGCCTCTCTAAATTCAACATGGAATTCAAGAAGCTTTGGAAGATGATTTTCCGAAGGAATTGGTCATCAACATGGGTTCCATGTGAAATTTTGGATCTGTGTTCCTTCAACAAGAAGCCAAAGAAGAGCCGGGAAAGCATGTTGGTTTTGTTTGTTGAACCCATCACTGTTGACTGTGTTCCTAGTTTCCCGCATGGGTTTCAGTATCTGAACATAGGGTACCCCATTCCATCTCATGCTTGAGAAAAACATGTTCCTATTCTTCTTTCAACCAAGGACAGAGGTGGAATTCCTGCGTTGCTTACGTTCTTTGTACGAGGATCTGACAAACTGAAACTACGTATAATTACTAATGCACAATAATTTACGATAACATATTATATATTCATGTTCTTTGAAGATGCAGACTTGAATGCGAGCGAAACTTCACATCCACAGACACATGCCCAAAATTGGAGAAATAAATTCATCATTGAAACCTTTTGTTGATGGAAACTGGTTCTTGCTTTGCCGTCTGTCATCAATTCTTTTCAGCACCTGCGTGCTGACTAAATCCTTGGTTTTGTCACTTCATGAACGGATTGAAATGGCAGGCGACTTGTTTGCCACGATTTGTGAAATCATAGGTTTGTGTGGCTATGAAATCCTAATATGCTGTTGACATTAATTTATAAATACTAATTGGTGTTTAATCATGTCAACACCAGATAAATCATAATCAATCTATCTTAGCAGTTGAATTCCTGATTGATGATGTTCTCTGATTTAGTTTGATAAACCACATGATGAACATGGTCGTAATTAACCAAACAATTACCATCTGGTTATTTAACATAGCCATGGAAAATGGCCCATTTATAGATGTTTTACCCATTAAAAATGGTGATTTTCAATAGCTATGTTAGTTTACCAGAGGGTATAATGGTAAAAACTGTTGATCTTGAAACTCTCCACTGTTGCTGTCGAAGGAGGAAGCTCAGATCATCAACCAATACCTCAATCTCTTGCAGAACGGCAGGCAGCTATGTAAGACGGAAGAGCGCCCTACGGTGCCCATAAAGATGGTTAAAAGTAAACAATATCATGAATAATAACATGAGAACAGTTGAAAGTAATCTAAAGTTATATATGATTAGATATCTATGTATATATATATATTATATATATATACATATTGCCAGTATAAAGGTGTGTACGGAGGCCATCCAACATCTAACAAGTACAGGCATCAGATAGAGAGTTCCTAAACTATGGGTACCCCCAAATCATCCATGTTATTTTGGGATATTTTGGGGTGTTCCATTATAAACCATCCATAAATCGAGGTACCCGCCATTTACGGAACCTCTCCATATATGGAACCTCTCCATATAGATCTTGGTAATAGAAACATGTGTAATCTACATGTGCAATCTACATGGGTATTTTATCTATGGGAAAAAACCCTATCATCCATTATACACCTCATAATTAAATAGAATTTACTATTCATACCATTACAAACTGTTCATCTAATTACAAACTATTACAGATCATCTAATTACAAACTATTACAGATAAATATAGCTCATCATTACAGATAAATATAGCTCATCATTACATTGGTAGATATATCTATAGTAGGCTTTCTAAAGCAACCAATTTATAACTGGGGGGGCACCATGGTACATCTTCCCGGAAGGTGTCGCAGAGGATCTGAACTGGTGCCTGGGCGATTCACCAAAAACTGGGAAGGATTTTGCATCTGAAAATATTGTGACTTAATGGGGCTTGAATGGGATTTCATAGGATTTAATGGGATTTTAGTGGAATTAAGGGGATATATCAAGTTATACCCTCCAGTAAACTAACCGTTTGCTATGGTATTATAGATGACCTACAAAGATAGATTAGTTCCCGAACTTAGGAAGGGTGATGTCCCAGTTCGCTATGTTAGTTTACTGGAGGGTAATCAACCTTAATGGTTAAAGAAACCTGCGATATTATGATATAGGATGGGTCAACCCCCATGTTCCAACCAAAGAATTTCTAGAAGCAATTTTGCCGTGTTCGAATGTTAATCCAATATTCCAAAAAAAATGCTTCTAGATGGGTATGTCGAAAAATTGAACATCCCAAGATCACATGGTTTTGAAAAGAACTTTCGCATGAGATAAATCATCCAGTTTGAGACAGATCCAAGCAGCAGGGATAAACAATGATAAACATGTATACACATATTTTGATTTATTTCAGATGTCAGCCATCATAGTGTAATCATTGTTGTTTGTCTTTGACCATTATTTGCCATCTACGCCTTACAGCCCCGTATGTAAACAAATGAGATACACGAAACCTGTCACAAGACATCTTCTCATCATTTATCTAAGCCTCAAGCGTGTGGCAATAAAAGGTGGCCATGGACAATTCCCCACATGCAGATGAGTATCCCATTATATAGATAGATAGATAGATAGATAGATAGATAGGTAGATAGATAGATAGATAGCTAGCTAGATAGATAGATAGATCATAGTGGGATAAGGCACTTCATCAGGCAACTTAGCTATCATATCTTATGATTAGTAACCACTATCATAGATCATAAACCATCCTGAACGCTATCGCTCGACTGGGGGCATCCTGGGAATCCTGAATCTTGGCCGACGGCCGGCCGACGCCCGACGCCCAGAGGAACAGCTTCTGTATACCTTGGGCTACACGGCCACAGTGGACATTTTGGTGGATTCTTTACAGGTGAAGATCTCGGCCATCAAAATGGCGAAACATTGATTTAACTAATGGGTTTCAGATGCTTTACCATCAACAAGATAGGTCAACAAGAGATTGGAGTTCAGAAAAAAAAAATCGGTTTCAGATGGTTTCAGCAGCAATCATGGTGTGTTGGATATCAAACATAGGTGCATCATCCCAAACATAGGTGTGTTCACCACTTGTTCTAAATGTATATCATATTATATCATATCATGTCATATCATATCATATCACATTATATATAGTATATCATATCATATCATATCATATCATATCGTAGTTTTTTTTATCGTCTCAAGCTTTCTGTTTAAACTGCAAGGTGAAATTCGATGGTTGGTGAATTCAATGTTGCTATCCGCTATCCACGGACCAGTGGACCAAATCAATGATCCAGCGATCGCCAAGTTGGTTTATTTGGTAGATAAATATATAGTTAACCAATGTTAACCATGGAATTCTACCAAATAAACCATATATTTATCTATTGAACTATAGGTGAATTCTATGGTTTGTGGTAGATATATGTCTATAGTAGGGTTGATGAACCAACTATTGTAGTGGTGTATTGCTTTCCCCAAGACTTAACGAATGTCGCGGGTAGCTGCCATTTGCCAGGCTCACAACCTCTGCAAGGGATACGTGCAACTTGGATCAAAGAGCTGAGCCTTCTGAGCTTGAACCGCCATGGAATCCCCCTGTAGCTCGCAACAAAACATTGTCCATTCACTCAAAATATGGTATCTTAGGTTTCGAGCCACACACAAATGGGGATGAGCGAAAGATTGGTGCCCCACAATGTCAGGTGAAGGATAATGATGATCAAAATGGGCAGATACTTGCAGAAAGAAAGTCTTGGAGGAAACTACCTTCAATGGGAATTTTGGGACATGACCAAAATGGAATACCATGCTACTATATAGTTTGTATATGTTTGTATACATTGTATTCATTTTCATTTCCCATGAATGGAGTATGAGTCAACTGGATGTCAAGGGCTATCTCACCTCCAAATGGTGGTGGGTCACCATTTTGGTCAAATCACCATTTCCTCAACATCAGATGTTTAAGCAGTTTTCGAAACCACCTAGTTCACAACCCGAAAACCACCACATTTTATGACTTCACTGAGAAAACTCCCATTTTTTCGCCTTCCAAATGGACATCTCCTGCCCGAACGTCCGTCCCCGTCCGTCGCAACGTCCGTCGCAACGTCCGTCGCAACGTCCGCCGCTTGCGCAACGGAAGGCGCAACAGTCAGCTGCTGGGGATGCCCTTCGCAGACGTGGAGTTCAGTCTTGGCCTGGACGAGCTGCGCGAGCTGACGCCCGCAGAAACACTGACGAGCCACGGGTGAGCAGAATATTATAGTCATTGGGCAGTGTGTCAAAACCCTGGTACCTAGTGAACCCCAAAATAGCTGGGATTTATGGATGTTCATCCCACTAAAAATGGTATTAATAGGTATTGATCCATAGTCATTGAACAAATATCAATGGTCTTTATAGTGGATTTAGCCATTAACAATGGTGATAACCATAAACATGGATAATTAATCCCAATTACTATAATATAACATAATATAACACTATATAACATTATATAACACTATATAAACATTGATTCTATGATTATATTTGATAATAATATGTAGCATTATAATAATATGTAACATGATTAGATAATATCTATTATATATAAACATAGATATAACTAGTACTTGGGTTAGTAATCCCATTACTGTATTTTAATAAATATCTGACACATACCCAACTATAGTTTTCCCTGGTTGGTGGTTTCAAACATGAATTTTATTTGTCATAATATATGGGATAATCCTTCCCATTGACTTTCATATTTTTCAAGATGGTTAAAACCACCAACAAGTATATATAAACATAGATATAACATGATATAACGCTATATAGTTTCTAGAAATTAATAGAATATATATGTATGTTATATGTTCATTACAAGCTGTAGTTGACATACATAGACACAATATAAAATATATGTTATGATAATATATTGGAATATAAATGAATATACTATGAAATACAACTTATTATAAGATACAGTAGGAATAGATAAAATAATATAAGATAATATACAGTCGTGTAATATAATATAATATGATATTGTACAATATAACGTCATGTAATATAATATAGTACTATAGTACAATATGACTTAATATGATACAATATAATATTTTTTTTTTTTAAAGTATAATCAGTATAGTAAATATATTCTCCTTTGTTATTTCAACATGATAATGATGTGTCTATATTGCATGAATACATCTGATTGCCGCGGTAAAACCAAGACTGCGATGCTGGTTGTGGGCCACTTCACTGGGTCCATTCAATCAAGCCCCCAAGCTGAGAATGGCGAGTTTTTGCTGCTGAACCATCTTGGATAATGCTGCGAGTGACTTCACAATAACTCACCTTAAACGATGGTTGGTAAGGGGAGATAGCCTCTGGTAAACTAACAGAACTACAGTATGGAACATCACCATTTTCAATGGGAAAATCAACTGCTATAAATTGCCATGTTCAATAGCTATGTTAGTTTATCAGAGGGTAAAAGAAGTCATCCCATGAATGGTCTTAAAACTGCTTTGGCTCCCGTAGAATCTATTACAGCTGTACCAGATCCCGCGGATATGCTATGGCTGAACACATCTATACACCCATAGACAGCACAAAACACCTATAGGTAGTCAGAAGAATTCCCACCACGACCACCTAGGCTCAATATGATATCACTGAAGCTACTCAATGCTTGGTATGTTAGTTATATGATAGCCAGAAGTGAGGGAGACGGCTGTGTTTGACAATTCGGCATGTACGTCGCATCCAACGATTCTACATATATATATATATACATAATTTGCTGTGGAAAATGATGAATCATCAGTGGATGGAATGAGTTTCCCTGAAAGATGAATCGAGCACACTTTTATTGGGGCATTTGGTATCTGATCATATCACATCTTATCACAACTTTACAGGCATCAATTCCACAATAGAACCACTTTGTATCAGGACTAGCCTCCGCTAATCCCATGTAATCCCCCTTGTTTCTACTCTTTTTTTAGTTATATCCCCATGATATTCCCACATCCGACTTTTCCATATGTTTTTCCATATGGTTTTCCATATGTTTTCCATAGATATGTTGCTCAACTCCCATTTTCTCGTTGTTTTTGTTACCTCTCCATGTCTGATCTGAGGACCTGCAGCATCCGCACGCGCGATGGCTTCAGCGATGAGGAGATGGAAGAGATGAGGAAAGCCTTCAACATGCAGCAGCTCGGATCTCCTCGGCATGGCAGTTTCGGAAGAGATTCCTGGGGATTTTCGTAGTGATTCTAGTGGAAAAAAACCATGAACATATCCTAAATCGGGATTTGAGTAGTGCTTGTAGTGGTTATACATGGTTATACCAAACAAAAACATGGTAGTGGTTAATTATTGCACTTATATAGTGGTGATACATGGTGACACATGGTTATACCATACAAACACATGGTAGTGGTTAATTATTGCACTTATATAGTGGTGATACATGGTGACACATGGTTATACCATACAAAAACATGGTAGTGGTAGATTATTACGTGAGGAAAAATGTGGGAGGTGGTGAGGGGTGCCAGGTTTACAGTAAAACACTAAATGCTTCTGAGATACAACTGCCCCTTGGCGATGTAGAAATGTTCTAGACCTTCTTCAGAAGATGAACTGCTATAACCAGACCCCGAAGACGAACTGCTACCACCATATTCATAGGAGCCCTCATACGAACTTCCATGGCTGGAGTCAGAATAATACCCGGATGAGGACATGGTCTGAGCATCCAGGGAGCTACAGATAGGGCCGGACTGCAATAATTGAGTTCCACTTAGTAATGGGAGGAGTTTCACTTCTCATGGGTTGCCCTTTTATATAGTGGTGATACATGGTTATACCATACAAAAACATGGTTACTTATTGCACTTGTAGGATGCAAAAAATGGGGTGGGTTTCACCACGGATTTTCCGATTTTCCCGGAATGATTTGGTCCCAGGGTCAAGTTCATGGGGCAGTGTGTCAAAACCTTGTACCCCTGTAGTTCACATCAAAATAGCTGGCATTTATGGATGTTCATCCCACTAAAAATGGTATTAATAGGTATTGACCCATACCCATGGTGAAACAGATATCCATCTACCCTCTGGTTATGACGAACAGTTCGCCATGAGATTTATGGCCCTAATCGAAATAGATGGTTTACCGAACTTAAAAATGGCTGGATCTTTCCATGGCTATGTTAAATAACCAGATGGTAAGTAATATCCATAAGGGAATATCCAACCAGTTTTAGTGGAATACATATGAATACATTATATCGAACCGATATCATCCAGGGTTTTGTGTGTATATATATATATGATAAGGGTGATATGATCGAAATATGCTGGTGAAATGTCAACTACTAGCCTCTGGTAATCAAACGTTACAATGAAATATCCTAGTTTTAATGGGGTTTTAACGGGAAGATCATATGTAAATGGTGTATTTTTCAGCAAGCCATGTTTGATTATCAGAGGGCACTCTCCTGTAGGAAAACCCACCATGAGTGTAGATCATTTTCCGAATAGGAAACCATAGGTTTTCCAGATCCATTTTAATCCACCCTACGCTATTCTTGGTGGCCGATAATGAAGAATAGGGTGATGAGGGTTGGCAGACCCCTGAATTCGTTGGTGGTTGATGAGCATGGGAGGTAAAGGATGAAGGGAAGATTTTACGGATACCCAATGTTTGATTGTAAAGATTTTCCCCCAAACGATTCAAGGAAAATATTGTCGTCCTTTTTTTTCCCACCACTTGGTTGATATTTGACAGAGAGTTATTTGTCAGTGAACAGCTTGTCAGTAGTCGATGGGTGCAAATATATAGTATTCCAAAGCATGTCCTCTATTGTTCTCTACTTGGTGGTTCATCCCAATTAGTACTGTAAGTGGGTTATAACCACAGTTATATACAACTGGACTAGTAACTAATCCTACTTACTCTACTTGTAACTTGGCTTAAAGCCAATTAATGACTGGGTGGCTCTCCACAAGTAGGGAACTCAGAGCGATATCACAGCTGTGGGTGAAGGGCTGATTCTTGATGTGTTTATGTTTAGTTACCCTCTGGTTATTTAACATAGCCATGGAAAATGGCCCATTTATAGATGGTTTACCGAACTTAAAAATGGTGATTTTCCATGGCTATGTTAAATAACCAGATGGTATGTGTACTTCTTTTGTAAGGTTTGTGGGTCTGTTTGAAAATATGGTACCATATGGATCCATATGGTACCCAAAAGTCCAATGGTTTATGATCATGTTCCAAATTAATATTGCTGTAAATTGGTGGTATACATCGGTATACGGGAAAAAACACATTTTCAGACACCATATCCTTTGACAAAAACCACATTCATTTTTGGCATGGTAGAAATGTAGTGTTCAACCAAGTTATTTGTCGAACCCAATCAAGTCTGGAATATGATGCTCAAAAGCAATTTTGGCGAGCCGCAACTTTTGTTCAGGATATGCTTTGTACATGTTTGTACACAGTATGTATATTGACATTGAAACATATGTGCTTGATCAAGAAGCAGATACATATTCAATTTTGTGTATAAATCATTCATTGTTGAACATCAACGATATCCAGCTCATGATTAGAGGTGCACACACCTGATTGCACAATTACACCTAAAAATCCAACATGGAACCCAACAAAAATGTTTAGGGCCGTTTGGGGTTCCATGTTGGGTTTAAGGGGTGTAAAAGCCCATAATCCCCCATCTTTTTTAATCCTCTGGCGTCTCAAAGGTCGTCAGAAGCTGAAATTTCCACGCCAGCCATACAGTTTCTCCGGCGGCACGGGAACAAAAACTCATGGAACCCAAAAACGTGGCGTTTACACCAGAAACTGTTTACCCATTTCAGCTTCGTATCCAAAACTGCTCGGTGTGCTTTCAAAATTCTCAACATGCCATGGACATATTATCATATTCAGTGGAGTTGAGACACGTCGCCGGGCTGTCTACGATCTGAACAACGTCTCAGGAAGGCTTTGCGATGGCTTGGACATATGTATAGCTTTGACGCTTAGCTTGGCAAGCACTGAAACATACTGAAACGTTGGGACGGGATTGGGAAGATGAAATGGATTCAAAAAACATTATTTGCCCATGGCCATTGGAAAAAAATATGTGGTAATATATATATATATAAATATACCATGTGTGTAATATACATATTTTATTCATATATTTATTACATGTTATTGCCATCTATAGATATTAACACCACATTCGATGCAAGAGTCCGCCATTTAAAGCAGTGTATTGGTCACTGCTTTGATTCAACATCCTCACCGAGGAGATGGTGCAGCACTTAGTGACGCAACTGGATATCGATGGCGACTGCATGTTGGATTTTACGCTCTTCGTGAAGTTGATTCGTAGCTTGGGAAAAACTTTAAGTGCTAGCGAGATTTGGAGGACCATGTTCTGATGGGAAAATTTTACTTCAAAAAAACATAAACAAAAAAACTGGATATGTATATATATGTATATATTATATGTAGATATATATCTATGTTATGTATATATAGTTATATATATAGTTATATATATATATAGTTATATTTATATAGTTATATATATACATATATATAGTTATATATAATTATATATATATATAGTTATATATATATAGTTATATATATAGTTATATATATAATGTTGGATACTGATTAGTGTGGGCCTCCCCCTCAACAATTTTGCGATCTGGGTCACTCATGGGGTACCCCTTGAAAAAATGTTTGGGTGCTGTTTTTTAATAAGGGTTTAATAAGGCATCTAATTATTTGGAAAACCTTGCATTTTCAAAACTGTAGCATGGATTTGGCTATCTAAAGTAAATGGACCAGCCTTACCCAAAGAAAGGTGTATACAGGTGGATAAAGCTCCTCCTGAAAAAAATGGATCTGAGAAAAAACTTCTCACAATAGAGGCCCACCCCCCCATTCACAAAATACTCAATTATTTTTGAAAATTGTCTTACAATAGAGTCCCAGGACACTAATCGGTATACTACATTATATAGAGTTATGTATATGCAGTGTTCGTGCTTTGAACTCTCGCACTTCTCGCGGCCTTGTTTGTTGTTCAATGGTTGAAGTGAAAACATGAGTCTATAACAAGAACCCCCAATTTTTATCGGCTGAAAAAGACTTTGGGTGGTTTAAACGAATCTTGCTTGCTGGTTCATTATCTCAGTCTCTTTTTCCAAAGTGTTGTTGAATGCTGTGAGGCAAGTGCCGGGACCGTGATCGACAAGAAGTGGCCAATGTATTCTTTGCGTTTCTGGGCTTCATGTGATCGTCAACCAATATTTGGAACCATGGAATTTTATGACTTTCCATTCAGTTGGGAATGTCATGTCATCCCAACTGACGAAGTCCATCATTTTATACCTCCCATGGTTCCCTGCAGGTTTTCAAGATGGCCAGTACCCTCTGGTAAACATACAAAAAACTATTGAAAATAGTTGATTTACCATGATTTACCCATTGAAAATGGTGATTGTCCCATCCGTTTTTGGTATGTTTACCAGGCCGGGTAAATGTTCTGTTGCAGGTTGGATCCCTTGGATTCCGGCTTCTTGGACCGAGACCAGCAGATGCAAGCCTTAGCAGGCGCCGCTCCGCCTGGATCTTGGGGACCCAAAGGATGGGGATCTTATACAACATGGCTTTTCAGCAGTACTGGAAGTGGCTGGGATGTTAACATCTCCTGGCGATATGGGGATAGGATGTTTTTAGTTGTGCGATGTTGTGATTCGGGATGAAGAAGCCATGGTTAGCAACAAAATGAGGATCAAACTGACAACAGATGGGGATATCATGAGACACATAAACACTCTTTATATCAGTTGGATATCAGTTGGGTTGGTCCCAAATTAGGGGGGGATACCACTTAAAATTGTCATTTAAAAACGAGGACATGATCATAGCCACGAGATTTTGGTGTAATCTACTGTCAGACAAAGCCTTTTTTCACGCGACTGCTCAACAATAGTTTTTGATTCACGGTTTCCTTGCACGTGGCTTCTCCCCATGTTTGTTGATGCCAATCATTTCAGTGACCAACAGAGGCCATTTGAAAAACAAGGTTGTTCATGCAGAAGCCCCATGTTGGATGGTTAGATTGTATGTTTGCTGGTAAAGGCCATGTGTTTGTTGATAACATAAACAGAGTGTTGGTGGAATAATGGAATACTGCAATAGTTATATGATATGCGTTGGTAAAGTCACCAGATTTGTTGATAGAATCCCAATATTTGCTGGCAAAATCTCTATTTGGAAATATGTCAATCCCAAGGTTTGAATACAGTTGAATATATTTGGGGTTGTTTTCCCCATGTTTCATGGTTAAATCATTTGAAATCCCGAATTTTCTCCACTTTTTGCGGTAAACGTCGTCCGAAAAAACAGGTCTGGGTCTGGCGACGGAGATTCCACAGATGGCGCCTGAGGGCATTCGCCTGCAGCAGCGACTTTGGCCAGGTATGATGCTGTCAACATCTTTGATTCTGCATACATGGGGGTTTCCATAGTCATGGGGATCCCCAATTTATGGTTGATTTCATGGCATAAATCCGACCATCCAAAATGGATGATTTAGGGGTACCTCCATTTCAATAATAGAATGGGCTAGCGCCCGGGTGCCGCCGACCCCCCCTATTTGGGGGGTCCTGCAGAGAGAGGGAGAGAGATAGATAGATGATGATAGATGGATGGATGGATGGATGGATGGATGGATAGATAGGTAGAGAGATAGAGAGAGAGAGAGATAGACGGATAGATAGATAGACAGTTGGATAGACAGATAAGTAGATGGAGAGATAGATGGATAGATAGCTGGATGGATAGATAGATAGATAGATAGATGGATAGATAGATAGATAGAGAGGGAGAGATAGATAGAGGGGGAGAGAAAGATAGAGAGGGAGAGATAGATACTCCGACGGCATCCGACGGCATCAGCGGTTCAGTGGGTCAGTGGCGCGTCGCTTCCGGCGGGCCGTGCTGAGGTCGATGGTGGTACATGGTGGGACAGACATGGACATATATGTTTTGATATGCCCCAACATGCCGCAATTCAATTTGCCACACAATGTGCAATGTGTATGCAATGAGTACGACGCTACAAATTTGAATGGCTTGAATGGTGACATGGTGACAACCAGCCGATGCACCATGGCTGCGTGCAATGGTGCTGCGGCTACGATGCGGACCACTACGACGCTACAAATTTTGCTGGCGCAACATCGTTCTTGTAATGGTGACCAAGTCTGTAGCAACTGCTGGCAGTGCCCCATTCCCCGGGGAAGCATCAGCAAAGCAGTACAGCGGGTAGCGGCAACGCAGGCGAAAGTCGCGCGGAGGGCAGCGGAAGAAACAAAGGCACGCGCCATCGCCGATGTCTGGGCTGCCATCGCGGAAAGAAAACGGAAGAGAGAAGAGGAGGGCACGCGAACGCACGAGACAAAGCCGGAGGCAAAACAACGGAGAGAAGACGAAAGGGCAGAAATGACCAGTGCGAATGCCGAGGATGCCAGCACAGAACAAAAACGGAGAAGAGAAGTGGAGGAGGCCAGAACACAAGAAGGAGAACCAAAAGAAAAACAACGCAAAGACGAGACAGGAAACGCCGAAGAAAAGCAGAGAGCCTTGCAAGCAGGTAAAAGGCAGGAAGGCAGCAAGCCCAGCAAGGAGGAGACTTTGCCGGCAAAGAAACGACAAGCAACGCAGAGGGGACAGAGTTTCAAATATGTCTGTCCTGCTTGCGCGCAGTCAGTGATCAGCAGAATATGCACAGGGGAAGTAGATCATCGGCGAACCTGCGGGAAGCGATTCCGAGTGAAAGACGGTGTTGTGGCAGAGAAATCTGTTGTTTACACATGTCCATTTTGCAAGGGCCTTGTGAACAGCAATGTGAAGACAGGGAAAATCAACCATCGGGGTGTCTGTGGGTACAAATTTTCGGTACGGGACGGCGTTGTCGCAAGGAAAAGTTTTGTTTACCAGTGCCCATTTTGCAATGGACTTGTGAACAGCAACGTGAAGACAGGGCGAATCGACCATCGATCTGTGTGCAACAATCAATTTTACGTCAAGGACGGTGAAGTCAGCAAGCAGACACGGCGTCATGCGCACAGTTGCCCGGTCTGCTCCACTGTTGTTTGGTCATCGCTGTCATGTGGCCGCATTGCTGTCAAGCATGACATGCCATCGGGAAAACCATGTCACAACAAGCAGTGGCACGTTCCCGAGAAAAAGACAACGAAAACAAAAAAGAAATAAGAGCCTCCTTAAAAGGACACTGCCACGGCCTCAGGGACTTGTTGGAGCTGCAGGAAAGGTCTGCCGCGGCCTAAGTGGCACCTGGGAGCTGCAGGGGAGGGTTTGTGGATCTGGCGAGTTTTGAAGGCTGGCAAACGGCAGCCTGGGACCTCCGTAAAAGGACACTGCCACGGCCTCAGGAACTTGTTGGAGCTGCAGGAAAGGTCTGCCGCGGCCTGAGTGGCGCCTGGGAGCTGCAGGGGAGGGTTTGGGGAGTTTTGGCGAGTTTTGAAGGCTGGCAAACCAGCCTTGAACCTCCTTAAAAGGACACTGCCACGGCCTCAGGGACTTGTTGGAGCTGCAGGAAAGGTCTGCCGCGGCCTGAGTGGCGCCTGGGAGCTGCAGGGGAGGGTTTGGGGAGTTTTGAGGGCTGGCAAACGGCAGCCTTGAACGTCCATAAAAAGACGCTGCCACGGCCTCAGGGACTTGTTAGAGCTGCAGGAAAGGTCTGCCGCGGCCTGAGTGGCGCCTGGGAGCTGCAGGGGAGGGTTTGGGGAGTTTTGGCGAGTTTTGAAGGCTGGCAAACGGCAGCCTTGAACCTCCATAAAAGGACACTGCCACGGCCTCAGGGACTTGTTGGAGCTGCAGGAAAGGTCTGCCGCGGCCTGATTGGCGCCTGGGAGCTGCAGGGGAGGGTTTGGGGAGTTTTGGCGAGTTTTGAAGGCTGGCGAACGGGAGCCTTGAACCTCCTTAAAAGGACACTGCCACGGCTTTAGGGACTTGTTGGAGCTGCAGGAAAGGTCTGCCGCGGCCTGAGTGGCGCCTGGGAGCTGCAGGGGAAGGTTTGGGGAGTTTTGGAGGCTGGCAAACGGCAGCCTTGAACGTCCACAAAAAGACACGGCCTCAGGGACTTGTTGGAGCTGCAGGAAAGGTCTGCCGCGGCCTGAGTGGCGCCTGGGAGCTGCAGGGGAGGGTTTGGGGAGTTTTGGCGAGTTTTGAAGGCTGGCAAACGGCAGCCTTGAACGTCCATAAAAAGACACTGCCACGGCCTCAGGCACTTGTGAGAGCTGCAGGAAAGGTCTGCCGCGGCCTGAGTGGCGCCTGGGAGCTGCAGGGAGGGTTTGGGGAGTTTTGAAGGCTGGCAAACGGCAGCCTTGAACCTCCT